AAAGTCGATCTTTCAGTTCACCATAGTGGTGTTTGCTTGCTGCTCTTTGGTTTACGTCGCTGTTCAATGGTGTGATTGGTTCCTTCCTTCCCCAGTTGTTGACCTCTGGGTTAGGTCTCCTTTTCTCGATTAATTTAAGGAATGGAATGATTTCTTCCCCGTTGTTGGGTACTTGGGTCGTTGGGATTATAATAAAATAAGACCCCGAGATGATCTGCACAAACGAGTAGTAATAGATTAAGACCGAACTCCATTCTTCGCCAATGTATATTTGCTTATTTGTCAATGGCCACAGCTTTCTGATCAGTCACTCATCGGAACAAAGTCATGGAAATGCTTTTGATTCTTGTTGTGGCGTTGAGCTGCTGTGTCCTGGTTCATAGCCATGAAGCCATAGGCTTCTGCTACCCAGAATTTGGGAGTTCAGAATGTGGCGTTTCGGAACAGCTGCAGCAGCAGCAGAAGCTGGATCGAGAGCAGCAGCCGCATCTGCCTTCTTTCCACTTCCGGCCTCCCCAAAACTGGCTCAATGGTAATAACCCTTTGACCGTGGTTGCTTTTTCCTCTTTTATTCTACTTTGTCAATTGGCTCTCTCTTACAAAGTTCTGATCTTTTCTGCTTTCAAACAATCGCCGTCTAATTTGGCGCTGTGCTGGATTAATGGGTTTCCCTTACTCTGTAGATCCTAATGGTAAGTCCATTAAATTCCCTTTCTTTGATGTTGTTTGTTTGTTTGTTTGAACTGCTCTATTCAATGATGCATTTGCTTATGGTTCTGTTGCCACAGGCCCAATGTGGTACAATGGGGTGTACCACTTGTTCTATCAGTACAACCCAGAAGGTCCAGTGTTTGGTGACAAGATGGTATGGGCACATTCAGTTTCCCATGACATGATCCACTGGGTTGACCTCGATTTAGCCCTCTCCCCAACCGAGCAATTCGACATGAGGAGCTGCTGGTCTGGTTCGATCACGATTCTTCCAGGGAACATACCAGTGATTCTATACACTGGCATTGATTCCAATGGTGTTCAGGTTCAGAACCTGGCATTCCCCAAGAACATCTCCGACCCCTTCCTCGAGCAATGGGAGAAATCGCCACGAAATCCCATCATGACCCCTCCCCAAGGCGTTGCTGGGGACAGTTTTAGAGATCCAACCACTGCTTGGCAGGATCCTGATGGGAAATGGAATGTGATTGTTGGTGGCCTGATCAATAACGAAGGGATTGCATTTCTGTATCAGAGCGAGGATTTTGTTACCTGGACCAAAGTTGAGCACCCTCTCTATTCATCCCCAGGGACTGGGATGTGGGAATGCCTTGATTTTTTCCCTGTGTTTGTTAATAGTAGCAATGGAGTTGATACTTCGGTTGTCAATCCAAGCGTTAAGCATGTGTTGAAGATCAGCTCATTCAGTAATTTGCATGATTACTATGTGCTAGGCACTTATGCTCCTGAAACTAGTAAATATGTTCCAGATACTGAGTACACAGGTAAAAGTACAGATTTGAGGTATGACTATGGGAAGCTTTATGCTTCAAAGACTTTCTTCGACAAACCAAAGAGCAGGAGAATCCTGTGGGGATGGGCAAATGAGTCTGACACCATGGAAGATGACATTGCCAAGGGATGGGCTGGAGTTCAGGTGAGTTCTGAAGCAGACCTTTCATATCCTTACTGCTACTGGTACCTTCTTGGTTTTAACTTGGCTTCTTCTTGACAAGTATTAAAAGAAAGCATCATGTTTTCTAACATGGACTCTGGGACTCCGACATTGCAGACAATACCAAGGGAAATATGGCTTCACAGTAGTGGAAAGCAACTGGTCCAGTGGCCAGTGAAAGAATTGAACAAGTTACGCGGCCAGCATGTGCAAGTCTTGGATGAAAAGCTGCCCAGTGGATCAGTTTTTGAAGTTGAAGGCATCACTGCTTCACAGGCAGATATAGAGATTGAGTTTGAACTGCACAGCCTAGAAGAGTCAGCCGAGTTCTTCGATACTACTGCGAACGATCCCCAGCAACTTTGCAGTGATTCGAATGCATCGATTCAAGGCAAAGTTGGTCCATTTGGCTTGTTGGCTTTAGCTACAGAAGAACTGAATGAGCACACTGCAATCTACTTTCGGATCTTCAAAGGCAGCAATGGATTCGTGGTGCTCATGTGCAGTGATCAAAGAAGGTATACAATAACATAGAACTTAACTTTGTTTTTCTATACTGTAACATAGGAAACCCCATAAAACACTTCCTGAGTATCTGCCTGCCAAAATTCCAGGTCTTCTCTAAGAGATGGGATGGATAAAACCCCATATGGAGCTTTTCTGGACATAGATCCTCAACATGAAAAGATTGCATTGAGAACACTGGTGAGTTTGCATATAAGGACTGTTACGCTATAAACCCAAGTTCCAGTTCGAAATTTTGGAGATGATTTACGTCGAATGTCGCTACTGCTGCTGTATCTGTTGCCAGATTGATCATTCGATTGTTGAGAGCTTTGGCGGGGGAGGGAAGACTTGCATCAGCAGCAGAGTTTATCCTAAGCTGGCTATTAACTCAGAAGCTCGACTGTTTGTGTTCAACAATGGGACGGTGGATGTAACGATCTCAAGCTTGAATGCTTGGAGCATGAACACTGCCCAGATGAATCGCGGAAGAGAAAGCTACGCGGAGCTGGACGAGTACTGATGATCGCCGCATCAAACCATGGGAGCTGGAAGTCTCGTAGCAGGCCTTAGTGGCCTACAGTGATGTGATCATCTGCATTTGCCACTTTGAGTTCATAAATAAAACAAATCGTTGCTGTCAGTTGTTGTATGCAGACTGCAGGGTTGCTTTTTCCCTTTTGATTCTTATAACATGAAAAAGTATTGTATTAATTTTTATTGAGAATTGTACGTGATATTATTATGTATAACTTATAAGCATAATTGTGACGATTCGTACATTTAAATAATGTAAAACCGAAGTTAAGAATAAACTCAAACAAGAAGATGAAATTATCACAAGTGATAGAGATAGTTGATGACACTTGAAAGTAGTATTTATTCATACTCTTCTCCTCACTACGTTTTCCCTATTTTGATGTATTCTCAAAATTTTCACGGTTGATTTTGCCTCCTATATGCTATGTTCCATTGCACATTTTATAGCATATAGAAGAATTTGTATATTTTTTATGCGGCTAAATTACATATTTGGTCACTCCAAAATATTTTTTTTATTAGTCACTCACTTTAAATCTCATATCATCATTCGTAATTGACCGTCCAATATTGTTAACTTCGTCCTACGTGTTATATATTATTTAGTAGGGGTTAATTATGGGTAATTTAAGAAATTTATCGAGTTATATATTTCATAATTATGGTCTGGACTCTGGATTCGGTTTATCAAATACAAAGAATAAGTATCCCTAAACAAGTCTTTCTCTCTCTCTCTCTTCCCTCTCTAATCTCTTGGTCGGCCCCATTCCAACTGAACCGGGTTAAGATCAGGTGACTAGTGAGTCTCTTAGTCACATGACTAAGTCAATCTTAGTAATTGATCCTCATTTAAATCTAATGGCTCCAAGTGATCTCTTTTAATGAAGGGTAGTAAAGTAATTACATGATTAAATTACATACCAGTTAAAAAAATAAAAAAAAAAGTGAGCCTGCACCCTGGCGTCGACGTCATCTTCCCCGTCGTTGCTCTCTGGCGCTTTTCCTGGGATATTATTCTTTCCAGAGAGAGAGAGTATTTTCCGGCAACGGCAGAGAAGATTTTTCGACGATGGGGTTTTCCGGCGACAACGACAATTTTGTTATGTTTGTCGGATTATTTTGTAATGTTCTAAGTCAGGTTTGTAATTTGTATCAATTCGGTTTGTATAAGTTATTATTCGAGTTTGTCATTTTTATCTATTATGTTTGTAATGTTTATATGGCAAATTTGTATATATTGTAATTTGTAATGTTTGTTTGTCTTGTTTGTATACTTTGTAATCGTTAATTTGTAATACAAGTTGACTGATTTGTATCTTAAGTAGTGATATTTTGTACTGTTAGTATGTTTTGTAATGTTTGTCGATTTGTTTTGTAATGTTTGTAAGATTTGTTATTTTAGTCCAACATGTCTGTCATTTTTGTCAACCATGTTTTTTATGTCTAAAAAACAAATTGGTTGATTTTTGGACGAAACTCCTTTATATAGGGATGAAGCATCCAAAGTCAACCCGACTGTTTTTTCAATTTGGTATGGTTTTTCGGTCTAATTTGTCGTTTTTGTTCACCATATTTGTAAATCTAAAAAACAACCGAGTTGGCTTTGGGACGGAACCCCTTACCCCTCTATATAGGGATGGAGTCTCCAAAGTTAACCTGGTTGTTTTTTTTTTTAATTTTGTATGGTTTGTATTGTTTATCGGACTAGTTTGTATTGTTTGTATGTTTTGTATTGTTTGTAAATTTGTTTTGTATATTTTGTTGTTCTAATTTGTATCGTTTGTATTGTTTGTAAGTTTGGTTTGATACTTCATAATTTTTCATAATAGCTAAATTACCTCTGTCACTAATAAAAAATTCTTCTCACTTTTTAATCGTTAAATTTGTATGTCAAGATGTAATGATTAGGAGGGACTTAGTCAAGTGACTAAGGACCCCCCTTAGTCATGGGATCCGCTCTCCGAACCCTCTTGTTCCTACCTTCTTCTATCCTAAGCTACCTCGTTGTACCACAAATCTATCCTCAATGTCTTCTATATCTCAATTCAATTCGTAAAAATAAAAAAATAGCAACACGTTTTCATGATTAAATTTAAATGTGGATAGAGGGAGTTGCTATCACTTTCTTGTTTCTATAAGTACAACATATATTTCTAGGGCCAAACTGCAATATTGTACCGCATATATTTCTGGCCAACTCCTACCAAGTGTCCAAGTTGAGTAAAAAAAATCGGAACGTCGCCGTATCATTTCCGTGTGGTCTCCGTCACCGTGTGGCAAATTGCCAAATTCCGAGTTAGCAATTTAGCACTGCTGAAACTGAAACTTCCGTCTCCTCAACCCACGACAGCGTCGACCGCAGCTTCCCAAAACCGCCTGGTCGGAAAACATGACGTTCGTGGCCGTCGCCGTGAACGGAGGCGAAGGCATCGGAGGAAGAGGAAGCAGGCGCGCACTCCGTTGGGCCGTCGAGAAATGTCTTCCTACCGCCAACCGGTTCGCCTTAGTCCACGTCATGCCATTCGTCACTTCCGTCCCTACTCCATGTATATCTCCTCTCTTCTCTTCCCTTCTCCATCGTCCTTCTCGTCCCTCCGAATCAGCTAGTGAAATTCAGACGCTCTTCGATGAAATTGTATGAAGTCAAATCAAGTCAACGCAGAAGGGAGAAAAAAATTGGGAGCGAAATTTTCGTTTGATGTCGTAACGTACTTGAAAAAAAAGAAAATTCCAGTTGTTTATTTTAACTTCCGGTGGCGAATTGTGTTTGCTCTAAACAGCCGGCGATCGGATTCCGGTAGAAGAGCTGGACGGGAAAGTGGTGGCGCTATACTTGCAGGAAGTGAGAAAGGAAGTTGAAGAAATTTTCGTGCCGTTTGTAAAGCTCTGCAGAGAGCGAGCGGCAAAGAACGTCAAGGTTCGTGAAATTGGGATGGGGTTTCTTTCTTCCCCCCTTGAAACCAACGGCTGAAATTCAGCTATTGTAGTGTGATTTGGTTAATAATTTATTGTAATTTTCATGGCTAGGTTGAGACCTTGGTGCTGGAGGATGACAACCCAGCGGCTGCCCTTGTGAGATGTACAGCTCAATTGGGGATCACTACTTTGGTGTTGGGTTCTTGTTCTGCTAGTTGCTTACTGAGGTTTGGCTTTCATTTCTACTCTGAATGAGGATTGGGCTTAGCAAACATTTGCAGCTTGGATTGTCTGTGCTAGTTTCTGCAATTCTGCTTGTATGTTATGTGATATCATGGAGTTGTACGGGTTGATGAGTTCATTCCCTCATTATTCACCCTTAACGTAATCGGATTTGGACTCTATGTTTTCTGTCAGTACTGAATTGGTGCCATTTTAATAGGCGAAAGCAAGCTGGCTTGCCTGCAAATGTGTACAAGTCTGCTCCTGTGGCTTGCAACGTGCATGTGGTACACAGAACTAAGGTGAAGACAAAGTTAGCTACTTCCTCTATCATCGATGGTATGTTGGATGTGGTCAGTAATTTATCCAACAAGTAATCATTCTCTGTATGTTCTTCATTTTCATGCAAATATCTTCTGGTTTACAGATATCAGCTCTAGATGTGAGGTAGTTGGAGAAAATGACTACAAGAAGTTGCTGACTGGTATTGATAACCAAGCTTCGGAGGTCCCCTCTTTCTCTAGAGATTCTAAAGCTGTGACATGCTTTGATTCTTCATCGGTGTCAGATCTTTGTTGGGCAGATATTCAAGCATTAGAAAATGCACCCAACCCTTTTCATGGCAGTTTATGTATGGAAGGAATGGGGGATACACTGGAATACAATGTGCTATCCTCAAGCGTCGACAAGTGCTGTTCTACATCATCATCTAAACGTGCCCAGGTGAATGGCTGTATATGTGTCAACAATGTCTCGTCTGTAGAAAACTTAGTAATTGGTAGTTACTCGCTAGTATTGAATCATGGTTTCACCACCTTCTGTTACAGTCATATGTGTACGATGAGGTAGAGAAACTGCGGCAGGAGTTACGGACTACAATAGCCATGTATAAACAAGCCTGTGAGGAGCTAATTCACACGCAGAACAAGGTTTTGCTCTGATGATTTTGCTTTTTCACTTTTTAATCCTGTTATGCTTGTTATGTGCTTTCTGTTTGTGCCAAGTAGACCTGATTTGGGAGAAGCTGGTCCACCTGACCCACAGAACAAGTAGTCATTCTCTGGTTGAGTTATTAAATAGTTTAATCATTCCTTATTGAATTAGTTACAAACCAAAACACACTGAAAAGTTCCATGACAACTATAGACGATTATGTAGAATTCAGAATTAGCTTTAGAGGTTCAGTGTGCTCGGTAGGTCAAGTTAAGAACAACATCTATGACGGTTTCACTGTAGGTGGAGTTGCTATCTTCTGAGTGTATTGAGGAATCAAGAAGAGTGATGGATGCCCGTGAAAGAGAAGAAACTTTGCAGAAGATTGCTGCTGAAGAGAAAGCAAGATGTGCCAATGCAATGGACGAGGTTGACAAGGCCAAGGAGTTGCTTGCCAATGAGGTTTATGAAAGGCAAGTTGCAGAGTTGAAAGCCAATAAAGAATCCTCAGGAAAACAGAGAATTGTAGATAAGATGTTTGCAAGTGATGCAAGGTGCAAAAAGTACACAAAGGATGAAATAGAAGTAGCAACAGAGTTCTTTGCTGAAGATAAAGTGATTGGTGAGGGAGGGTATGGGAAAGTTTACAAATGCAACGTTGATCATACCCCAGTAGCTATTAAGGTTCTTCAGCGAGATGCCCTGGGCAAGAAAGAGGAATTTCTACGAGGTAGTTCTCTTCTGCATGCAGAGACTAATAAAAGTTGTTCATTACTTCTGACATTCATAGATTGTAAAATGAAAAAAATTGTGTTTCATTGATTGCACAAGTTAATGATCAAGAAAAAGTATGTAACTAAGTACTGGATCAGGTAGGTAGCTCTGAGAAATTCATCTGGTTATGTTTCATAGTTAGAACTGCACCGAATACTTCGATACAATGGAGCTCAAATTAACTTAGCTAGTAGCTTTGTTTTTGTGTGTGTCAATGCTGTGTTGCATATTTGCCTCTGCTTCTCAACATAATAGTTACTGATTACTATTCTCTTCCAATTCTTCACAGGTACAAGTTCTAAGCCAATTACGCCATCCAAATCTCGTCCTGTTGCTTGGGGCATGCACTGAGAGTGGTTGCCTAGTCTATGAGTACTTGGAAAATGGAAGCTTGGAAGATTGCCTCTTGAACCATAGTGGGAAAATTCCTCTTCCTTGGTTCGTTCGTTTCAAGATCGTCTTTGAAATTGCTTGTGGGCTCTCATTCTTGCACAACTCAAAGCCAGAGCCCATTGTCCATCGTGATCTGAAACCAGGGAATATACTTTTAGACAGAAACTACGTGAGCAAGATTGGAGATGTTGGGCTAGCAAAACTCATTACTGAGGTTGTCCCTGACAATGTCACCGAATACAGAGACTCTATGCTTGCTGGTACCCTTTTTTACATGGATCCTGAGTACCAGAGGACGGGGACCATCCGCCCCAAGTCGGATCTGTATGCCTTTGGGATTATAGTTCTCCAGGTGCTGACCGGATGCCGCCCAAATGGACTTCTGGTGCGTGTGGAAGAAGCAGTTAGATGTGGCACTTTGGCCAACATTCTAGATCCATCCATTGCAGATTGGCCACTTGGTGAAGCCAAGGAGCTTGCCCAAATTGCTCTGAACTGTGTAAAGCTTCGTTGCAGAGATAGGCCAGATCTCGATACTGAAGTACTGCCAGTTCTTAGAAGACTCGGCGAAGTAGCAGATGCTAGCATGAAGACAGAGAGATGCAGCATCTATGCACCAAGCTACTATTTTTGTCCAATCCTTAAGGTATGTAAGCAAAGCAGACAGTTATAGGTTGCCGCCAGAACTCTTATCTGCCATCTAATTCTTTCTTCATACTGATGCAGGAAGTAATGGATGATCCTCACATTGCTGCTGATGGTTTCACCTACGAAAAAATAGCCATCAAGACATGGCTGGAGAGGCACAACATTTCTCCAGTGACAAAGCTTCGACTCCAACATTCTGACTTGACCCCAAATCACATGTTACGCTCTGCGATTCGTGAATGGATGTCTCGGGTGAATTCTCAATAGCTTTTCAAAGCATCAGTAATCTTGTATCATCGAAAAGGTTGCTGCCCAAGTTTCTCCCCTGTAACTCATCTTCCTTTAGAAGTCGATGATGACCGTTTGTCAGCAGTACTGTACAGCATATGGTACACTCGGAGCGAATTGAGAAAACGAAACTGGTTACAGAAAGTTGTAATTCATAACATAAGAAACCAGCATATACACAAAGATATAGGAAACAAGAAAGGTGCATATATTTGAAGGGAAGTGTTACTCTGTACAGTGCTGTAATTCATCTACTCTTGCATATATTCGGATACTGCATGAAAAAATTTAATGCCATTGTGAGCTGAAGCTGTAGGGAAGTCAATCGACTTGAGTGAACTCCAGCGCATTCGCATCCGGATCGCGAGTGAAGATTGCAGGCCTCCCGGACCGGCTAAGTGTGTAGGGATGTCCTGCAAGAACATACAACAACCTGACCTCAGGCCACAAGCCTAATGCAAACTGAAGAAGGTTGGTCAGAAAAGGAAAAAGGGAACTGTAAGGCTACCCGCTTCGTCGAGGATCTCTTTGAGCTTGGAGACATCTCGAATGGCGAGGCAAGCATGGCGGTCGCGGCCACCATGTTCAGGGCGTCCGGTTAAAGGGTCCGGATTGGGGAGCTCCATCAGATGGATCATCTCGGCGCCCACCCACAACCAAGCTCCTCTGTATGGAAGCTTGTCGTGAGGCCTTGCCTCGTTTATCTCAAGACCCAGCATCCCCTGGTAGAACTCGAGCGACGTTTCGAGGTTGTCGCAGAGGATTCCGACGTGGTGAACTCCGACGACTCCATAATCTGCACAAAAATGGAGCAGAATGGTAAAGCAATAAACAGGGTAGTATATTATGTCTGTCGACAGTGAGGTTAGTTACCGTACCGATTTTGGGATTGGTTGTGGCGGTGATTGATTCTTGTTTGTCGACGGGAGCGACATTTGGTTGAGAAGATAGGTTGGGTCTTGTTCTTCTGAACCGGCCACCGGCGGTGGGTTTCAAATTTGAGGAGAGAGGAAGAAGGGAGCAGGGTTGACGGAGGAGGTTGGCGGGGACGGCGGTGGATGATGGGGTGAGTGGAAGAGAAGCCATGGCAGCGGGAGAAGGACGGGGATTAGCTGCAGTTGATTAGAATGGTTACTTGTTTTCCGTGCTCTGTTCTTGTTCCAAAGTGATTCTCATGGCTGCTCTGCTAATTCCAGCGACTCAATTCAGGCCACCAGTTTTTTGGCACTGAGGTCCACCATTCGGTGGTAAAAATTATCCGGAGATATGGGCCTAGAGGTGGGCCGTACGCTTGCTGCAAATTTGAGCCCAGTCAAAGAGGTCCGGTCCGACCCCTTACGCTTGTTCTCGGATCCAATAGTAGACCAACGGGACGGTTTCCATCTGATCAGTCCATGGGGAGAGATGAGATTGCGCTGATGTTGGAGTTGGAGGGCATTTTTTTAGCGAATCAAGTCTCTTCTAAACTTAGGTGACAAAACACCTATTTCACTTTTTTTATTAACATCATATTTGTGTCATTCATGCTATATTTGCGTTATTCATGTAAAAGTGTTGATTATTCACGCAACTAATACTGTTAGGTCACGCAACCTAATATTTACTCACTCGTATTGTTATTTATTAACGCTGTTATAAAATAAAATTTTAAATTTTGAAATATATCAAAATTGATGTCATTGTGTAGATTATGATTAACGCAACATATTTTACAGATTAATTGAGAATTCAAATTTAATTTCATTAAATATATCCAATACAAATTATTAGGGGGAAATTTTAATTTTTCATTTACATGAATAACTTACACTCTTACATGAATAACCATAGTATTACATAAATAAGCACCAAATGTGTGAATGAGCAAAAAAAATACGTGAAAAAGTTGCCCTTAGGTGTTTTGTCAGCTAACGTGATAAGAGATTTTTTCCCTCCTTTAGCTCGCTCGAGTGGTTGTATATCTTTACGGGTTTAGCATGTAGGTATGTCAAGAATTTGGATGGAAGAATTTGAATTGAAAGCGTGAATGAATCACTCTTTTTAGAGTGTTATTTGTTTCGATTACAAATTGTTGGCAGGAATCGAGCAAATTATTATCACTTGAGTCCCTTCAATCTAAATATGGAAGCAGTAATCTTGCAGACTTCTATTCCTGCGAATTTGATAAGGAAACTTGTAAGAAGAAGAACTCATGGGAAAAGAGTTCTAGCGGCAATTTCATAATTGTGAAAGATGAAAGAGTGCTAATAGCATAGTGCAATTTAGTATGTGTAATTAAATAATGATCATTATATGAAAATAAAGAGACGAAATCAACTATAAATTGATTTTAACAAAAAAAGTACTAAACAAATTACTCACTTTTCCCACCCTACATTGTGACCAAAACCTCTATTTTCCCACTTTTCCCACCATCCCACGTTGTGGCCTCCATGTGGTATAATATTAAGTAATACCAAGCATTAGCACCATGGAAAACTGATAATAAATGTCTCTTTTTTTCTAAAAAAGTAAATATCATTTTTGAAGAGTACAATTAATCTTATTTCTATATGGAAAAAAATAACGACTTAAAAGAAAAGAAAAACAGCCCATTAAAATTTATAGAGAAAAATATTATAAAACACTTCAGAATTGGTGATGTGACGATAATGTTACAGGTATGCACAACAAAGTTGTATCCGCTCCCACACCAAATAACATCCCGAAACCAAATCTCGATCCCAAAAACGCAAAGACACCACTAGTCAACAAAATGAGGCCTGCTGCTCTTTCGGAAGCTGGTATCCTTCTGCCCCCTTCTGTTTATTTCTTATGTTGTGCGTGCGACACGAGGTTGACTTCAGTTTTGCTTCTTCCCCCTCCCATCTCTCTCCTCTGCAATGGTGCTCGATCGGCGGATTGATCGTAGTATTCCCAGATAACGCGTTTGTTGGTTGCCGCTATGGTCGTCGTCTTACGGATTGCTGTACTTTGTCAGAACAGTTTTCCGGCCGTTTGTTTTCTTTTTGATTTCATACTAGTCAATGCGCCAATGTCAATCCTTCTGGATTTTGTCCCTCTGCCTGCCTGCCTGCCTGCAACAACAACACCCAACGAGGATACAAAAAAAATAAACAAGTGAACCTCCCACTTGATGACTTCCAGAATAATTGTTTTATCAACCGCAAAACCAGAGTCTCCCAAAGCAAGAGTATTACGGCAAAATTTTTTTGTGCTGTCACCGAGTAGTGAATTAGGAAGAAGAAAAAAAAACACTCAAGTTGGACCCTGGTTGCATATTTTATTACACACGGTTAATAGCACAAATTGTCTCTGTATTCTCTACTACGGTGTATATTCACGTTCTCAAAAATCTCGTGCTAAATTGGATTCCCATTTATCCCTTGCTAACTAAGGCCCTAGGCAAGTAGAGATCCCTTTCGCGAAGAATACTTTGCCTCTCTTCGAGATGGATTGGAACCCAATTTAGACTCAAGGATGAAAGATTGTTAAAGAGAGTACCATACTTTTCCAAGATTGAGTCATAGGCTGGCGGTATAATTGAGGCTTTCACGTGTGTTTAATAAAGATAGAAGAAACTGGTAAACTCTAAAAAAGCGTGTAAAAATAGACACGAGTCATCCACAAAGAAGATATAAGAGACAGGTGGCGTAATTCCCTAATCTGAATATTTAACTGAAATTGCTGGAGAAATTAAGCCAAAAAAAAAAACTTCGGTGCATATTGCTAAAGTTAGCGTAGAAAGAGACTCTAGGACTTGAGAAATAACACAGGGAGTATCATTGATTGTAACCCAAAAGAGACACTATCTTTGTACACACGCGGATCTACTATATAAAGCGTTCATTTCTAGATCAGAGAGACAAATTATTTAGGAATATCAACACTGGACATAGTAGAAAGACAAGTTTGATGTGAAAAATAATAGATGGACAAGCTTGAAAAATACGGTATATAAAAGTATTACAATTGATGCTATTAAGTATTAACTAACCCATCAATATGCTAGCCAGTGCATAAACTGACCATTTAGATAATATAAGGACAATTATCTCTTCTTCTTTTTTTGCCATGTTGAAATAAAAAAAAAAGTAGAAAAGTGGTGGATCGATGAACTAGTCTTTGAACGAGCCATAGTTTATAGCACGACGGAAGTTGAATAACATCGGTGTCGTCGGGGCTCAAGTGGTGGAGAAAGTGAGGCAAAAGAAAAACTTTAGTTACCTATTAGATTTGACTCAATTGATGTCTGTTAAATTCTAAATAAATAAATGGTCGGCGTCATTTGTTGAAAACGACTTCAATTTGATTTTCATGGGTTTTCGCTCTTTCTTTAGTAACATTTTCCGGGCAAAGATAGTTATACTTGTAAGAAAAGCTCCTTCATCGGTAGGTAGTGTTTATGCCTACTTATTTTGTGGTCTTGCAAAGAAACAACAATTCTGAATTCATGTCAAAAGCCTATTCATTTTGTGGGTGATGGAATATTCTCAAGATCCAGTATTGTGAGGGTTGCTGAGAACAATTTGCATCTGGGCTAACCTAGCAAATCAAACATTCATGCAATACATGGAGGACCGTCTCGATTGTCTTGTTGTAAATGGAGTAGTTGTTGAACGTGAATGTTTTGACAAAATTTTGTGTTAATTAAAACTCGATATCATAAATGTAACCAAGTTAGATGAAGTGTTTGACTTTCACACAGTGACGGAGGAGGAATTTGAATGAGAAGGTTAATTTGAACCATGGTAATTGGAGAGGGAGGACTAAAGCCTTACCAACTACTATATTTGCTAAATTTGTTACAAAAGTTACATGTAAGTTTACTTATGATTCAAAGTTGAGAAAAGCTATAGCCCTTCCTTTCTTCAAACTACCTCCGCCACTACTTTTTTTTATTTATATATGGTGATATAGGTTTTCATTTTTTTTATTAAGGTACTACTTTAGAAAATTCAACCTACGACCTCCAAATTCTACGTTAGTGGTATTACCACTAGATAAAGCATTTGTTCGTTCCAACACTACTTTTATATATATATATGTCCAAGCGTCACTATCAAACTACAAATCACTCCAACAATTTGTCAACAAGCCATCTCTAATTCTCTCATTCCATATGTGTGCCAAAACACATATATGGAATGCATCGCCATCAGGACGATGCATGTGCGTGAATAGGGCATGTGCATATATGCAGTAATTCCCATTCACTTAATGTATTTTTGTGTAAAGTTCCAACACTCACAACTCGTGTTATGATATGCTCTCTATTATATGGATGTCAATCCGTCGAACAAAAAGAATTAACAAAATATCTCACACAAATTACTAAAATATGGATGTCCATCCATCGAAAAAAAAATTAACAAAATATCTCACACAGATTAATTTGATGTAATTTTCCATTAAATGTTGAATTTGAACAATTTTGTAAAGGACAAATACGATATATATATGAAGTAAGCAATGAGGTTGGCATGAGAGTGATAGTGACGAGTGGGATGGAAGGATAGGGATCCCAATTATTGGCCCATCTATGTGACGAAATGTCACGTATTCGGCTGTCCGGTTTCAATTTTTGAGTGAACCTTTGACCCATGTTTTATCCCTTTTGGCAAATTTTTTGCTGGAAACACGCTTCTGCTATCATTGGCGTTGATGACTCAGTGACCCCAACTTGATGGACATTACTCGATATTTTATGTTTCTTGGGTCGATCGATTCGGCGACTCAGTTTGATTGGTGAGCCTTGGGTTTACATTTGATGTGGGGTAAATGACATGAGGGGTAAATTTGTTTATGGGGGACTTTTAAGTCAATATGACTCGGAGTTAAATAGTCGATCGTTTTAGAAAGATGGTTGATCGCTTTAGGAAATGGTAGAATGGATGATATACGTATTTTGTTGCGACATGAGTTCATAATTACAAAATCGTTTTAGGAAGATGGTTGATCGCTTTAGGAAATGGTAGAATGGATGATATACGTATTTTGTTGCGACATGAGTTCATAATTACAAAAGAACTGGTTGATTGTATCATATAGTGGTCGACCTGTTAGGATTAAAAATATCTTCATATCTCAAATCAACGCCTCAGAGTGGAGTGCTCTGAAGATAGTTGAACTTCGTGATTGTATCTAAAAGGTTGGCCAGATAACAAACATGGCCGACCTATTGATCTACAAGTATTGCACGAACAACTACCTCTGACGTTCCAACATCTTTTCTTCTTCACCGAGCTCCAAATCCGCAAGAACTTGTTTACACAATTTTTAGATTGATAAACCAATCACGTGAAGGGTTATTTATAGAGGTTCTTGTTGATAGTAACTCGAATTAAATAGTAGATTGGTCCATCTTCAGTAATGAAACGTTTCTAGTTGTGGAATCGTGTTTTGATATTGATAAGGTAATGGCTAATTGTTTGACATTTACACCTCAACAGATCGTTATTTTCCTTTGCAATGGTAGAGTCCCCTGACAATACTAATAGGTAATGGCCAACCTGTCCACCGACCTATTTGAGCGGTCAACCGCTATTTTTCATTACAACAAGGTAACTGTGGCAACCAGTCCACCATTTTCTCCAACTTTTCATTTATTAATCTTAAATGCAGGCATGATAGAGAGTTGGGTTGAATTTCTCCAAATTTAAATTCAACTTTAACGGGTGTACCCGCAAAAAATCTAGTAAAATACATATAACGTTTTGAAAAGATAAATTTCAACCTGGTGCAACGGGTGCTCGTGGATATGTATGTATTCAAGTCTAGGGATGGACAATGAATGAGTTGGGTGAGCTTCTAACTCAAACTGACCCTCTCAATTCATAACGAATGATACAATTGTGATTCGCTATCAATCTGTATTCTTTTTTGGATTGGGTGGGGTGGGTGTGTGCGGTTGTGTTTTAGATTAGCATGCAAAAACAATCCCACAGCTAGTCATTAGGTAATTCGACTAAAAATTATAATAAATTTATCATAAACTAGGAAGACTATAACAATTTAGACATACTACTTTGTCTGTTGTGCACCCATCTAATGCTTGTAATAGTTAAAAAATAGGGCTAATACCACTACAACACCCGAAATATCCCGAAAATGCCACTTGTGTCCTATTGTTTCCAATATTCCATTTATGTTCTAAACTATTATACTTTGTGCCATTTGTGTCCTGACGATTTTGTTGACCGTTAAAGATAACGGTTGACCAAACGGTGGTCAAAGAGAAGTTGACTTTTGTTGACGTGACAAAAATGTGGCTGCCACATAAATGCCACGTCATTGACACCTCATATTCTTAATTAAAATTAAAAAATGTAAATTCAATAATATTATTAAGCCAAAATTTTAAAACAAAATAAAAAAAAACTCTTCGTATTCTTCTTCTTGGTGCAAGATATTCATTGCGGCGAAACTGAACGAGGTCGCGGAGCACAGAGACGAGATCGCATCAGCTGGACGGAGCGAGGAAGGCGAGGGATTCGTTGCAGCTGGAGATGGAGAAAATCTGGGGGATTCTGAGCATATCCTTTCCATTTGCACCAGATCAAATCCCCAGGTGGAGTTCTTCGATGATGGTTTGCCTTCCTCTGCTCCCTCTGTGATTTGCAAAATTGAAGAGGATATCCCTCTATACAGAGCCCACACTGGCTGGGATTTGGACGAAACTCGCCGTATTTTTGGGTCCGGGAAGCATAACGGAGGGTTAGGAGGTGGTGGCGGCCAGGATCTACGGTGGCCCTATGCTTCCACTTCTCCCCGCACGTCGCCGTCGACGGAAGCAACTCATCATCCTCCACCTGCAACTCCTCGACAAAATCGGTAATCGAGATCCAGAAACTCATCATCCTCCACCTGCAACTCCAATTGCAGGCATCACAATCTGCTGTGTTCCTATTTTGGGGGGTTTGGTTCTAGGGATTTGACTTCTCTGAGATATGTAATCGAGATCCACCGTTCCATGTCCGAACTCTGCTCCAGCGGCCACGACCAGGAGTTCTTCGATCTCGCCAATTCACCAGATACGCGCACCATCTTCAACTCATCATTAACCACCTCCTCCGATCCTCTCTGTCGCTTTCTGCTCCCGCGGAGACCGGATGGAGAGGCATCTTCGAAGATCTCTCTGATGTTGCAGAAGCGATTTTAGCCTATAGGAAGAAGAACAAGATCAGTGTTCTGGTCCAGTTCCTGTGCTCGTCTATTCTGGAGCCGAGGGTCGACGGTTGCTCATCTCTTCCAGGCAACGATTCAATCTTGGAGGGGAAGAGGAGCGAAACGGAGATAAAGAGTTTTTTTTAGTTTTTTATAAATATTATTTTATATAAATACAGATTAAAAAATTACACGTCAGATGCCACATCAGCGCTGACTAGATTTTCTGTTAAAAACTAACGGTCAACAAAAGTCAACACTAACGGAATCATAGTTCAGGACATAGATGGAATATTGGAAACAATAGGACACAAGTGGCATTTTCGCGATAGTTCGGGTGTTGTAGTGGTATTAGCCCTAAAAAATATTCTTCCACTTTTAGAAGTCGATTGTTAGTGTCTGGTGTGGTTAGGAAATTTGATCAATATTCGTCATTCGATAGTATAAATAAGAAACAACTCTAAGTCATGTGAAAGTGTGGTGTAGGTTAGGGTGATCTGCAACCCACCTGCCACCCACCCGAATAAGTGCGGGTAGAAGACTTACCGATCCACGGTCCGCCCACATCAATCACACGTCAATTGCGATTTCAGTTATTAGGGTGAGTCGATGTCAAACCGCTGGTTAACCACCAGCGTTCCCGCTCTGCCTATAGGTGCACTGATATAATTGCAAATAATTTCTCAAAATACCCACATCCTTATACGATAAAATTAATTCCTTCAATTACATTGTCGTAAAACTAATATCATCAATAAATTATCCAGACTAGATACAAAACGACATTTTTTACTTATGAATACGAGTCGGGTTTTGACAGAACCTTCACCGACCCAACCCACAAATTTCAAAATACACTCTATCCAAAATCCGTCCAAATTTTATCTAATTTGACCGAATCAAAATGGTTTGTGTGTACCCACAAATCTCGATTCAGGCCTTGTTTGCTTAATGAATTTCATCATGGATTTGGTACATAAAAACCAACCATCATGGACTTTGTACACAATCCATCGTTTGCTTTATGGATTTAGCAGGGACAAATCCATGGGGCCCACAGTATTATAGAGTCCAAATTCGTGAACCCCACGGACTTGAGAATTCCACCCAAGAGGTGGGATTTGTGTTGGGTACAAAGTCTATGATTTCTTTTTACAATTTTAACCCTCCTTGATTGACATAATGCAACCAACCCACCGGCCAGCCACCAGCCGCGGAATGCTTCTCTAAAACCCATTGACATTTTTTTGTTGAACTCAAAGCGCTACACACACCCAGCGTTTACACGGCGTTGTTGTTCATCGTTTTGGTCAACCAAGTTCACAAATGACGCGACGCTGCCAAATAGACCACCACCCCCAATAAATAAATAATAGTAATAAAACAAATCATTACTTTTTTCCTTCAAATTAAAAAATTATAAATAAATAAAAACCCCACAACGCGAGCGAGTACACGCCTCTCTTTTTGGTTTTTTCCTTTTGTTTTCTAATAAAAAAATTAAAAAAGGGAAGGAGAAAAAAAAATTAAAAAGCCCCTCCGTCCGCGGTAGGGGTGTTCAAATGGTTACCATGGTTATAACCAAACCAAATAAAACTAAATTCCATTAACCATGGAATACAATATCATAACCAAACCGTCCAAACTAATACAACAACCGAATTAACCAAACTAAAGTTTAATCGGTTTGGTTATTTGGTTAACCAGATTAACCAATATAAAATCACATTATCATTGACGATGAAAATTTTCCGGTTAATGCAACAATTTGCAATTTATATAATGAATAAAACATAAAATCAACACGTAGTTATAGTTGACCCTTAACAAAAATACATGCAACTAAGACAATTATCTTACGATTAGTATAGAAGTATTCACCTAACAAAAATTTATGACAATGGTATGGGTTAATGAATTGTTGTGTTTGTGTAAATTGACTTAGTCTCTTAGCAATTATCATAGGCTGGAAATGACCTTCCTTTCAAGTTTTCATCCATCATAATGTATGAAATTTATCTAAATTAGGCGTCCATATGTTGTGGCCTACATTTTACATATACAAATATACACTATATGAGCAATATTCAGCTTTATATTTTATGAGTCTAAAAGGGATGAACGTTAACTCTTGAGTGGTTATGCAAAGTATTAAGTATGTGTATATAATATATGTTAGATATATGACTAGTTACTTAACTGGTTAATTTGGTTTGACTGGTTAGGAGTGTCTGAAACCAAACCAAACCACCTAAACCAAATAAGCTAAAAACTTTAACCAAACCAAACCAATTATCCAAATTAACCAAACCAAATTATCCAAATAGTACTGGTTAAAACGGTTACCATGGTAACCAAACCGTTTGAACACCTCTAGTCCGCGGTTCTGCTCCTCGGGTCCTGCCCCGACCCGACCCTCTCTCACCGCGTTAAACCCAATCCAAAAAAGTCAAGTCACCGTCAAAAGCAGCACCAACGCGTTCACACTCCCGCACACGTTTCAATTTCCCTTCCTTCCTTCCTTCATCCCCATCTTCAATTCCATTCATCCTCCTTCTTCTACCTTCCTCTCCATTTTCGTCCCCCCCACCCTTCTTTCCTTCCTTCCACCACACCCTATATATATTATTCATGGACTTTCTCCTACCAATCTCCAATTCCCATTTCTCCTCTTCCTCTGCCGCTCTACTACGTTTGAACGCTCCCCCTGCTTTCACACCTGTCTTTCTTCTTTGAAGCATTTCGTCGAACACTTTTCTGACCCCCCTTTCCCTTTCCCTTTCCTTCTTCAGTGGGTGGGTCGGTCTGTTTGTATGGAAATATCCTCGTTCCCATTTCTCAACCCGGAAGAGATTTCACACTTCTACACCCTGTTCCAGGAGATGGACAATAATAATAACAACTTCAACTTCGCTGGAGGACCCGACAGCAGCGGTAGTTACGGAGGAGACGGCAGCGGGAGCGGTGGTGGGTTTAACAACGGAGCGAATAGTGGTGGTGTAAATACGAACAGTAAGAAGCGGAGGAGGAAGGAAGCTGGCGGCGGTGAAGACGAGAGTAAGCTGAAGAAGACGAATGCGGTGAAGGATATTCTCAGCTCGCTTGTGCTATTGGACGAGGAGGAGAAGCAGGAGCAGAATCAGTGGGTCGTGGAGTCGCAGCACGATAAGGCCTTGTTCGATTCCAATCACGATCAGAAGGTGCGAGTTATGAATGAATTCAATTCCGATATGCAGACCCATTTCTCCAATTTGGATAATTTGGACCAATCCAGGGCCAAGAGCTCCCGCCGCTCTGCTTCCGCCGCCGTCGTCGTCGCTGCCGCATCCGCCGCGGCTGCGGTGGCGGGTTCGGGGGATTCGGTTCAGAGTGGTGGTGCGGGAGGTGGGTCGACGAGCGCCACGCCGCCGCAGCAGCGGCGGTTGTGGGTCAAGGACAGGTCAAAGGACTGGTGGGATCGGTGTAACCATCCCGATTTCCCCGAGGAGGAGTTCAAGAAGGCGTTCCGGATGAGCAAGGCGACGTTCGACATGATCTGCGAGGAGCTGGATTCCGCGGTGATGAAGAAGAACACAATGCTGCGGGACGCCATCCCGGTCCGCCAGCGGGTTGCGGTGTGTATTTGGAGGCTGGCGACAGGGGAGCCACTCCGAATTGTGTCCAAGAAGTTCGGATTGGGGATATCGACTTGCCACAAGCTGGTACTCGAGGTGTGCTCGGCGATCAGGACGGTGTTGATGCCCAAGTTCCTCCAATGGCCGGACGAGGAGAAGATGAGAGGGATCAAAGGGGAGTATGAATCAATGTCGGGGATACCGAATGTTGGTGGGTCAATGTACACAACCCACATCCCAATCATCGCCCCCAAGATCAGTGTCGCTGCTTACTTCAACAAGAGGCACACCGAGAGGAATCAGAAGACTTCGTACTCGATCACGGTTCAAGGAGTAGTGGATCCCAGAGGTGTGTTCACCGATGTTTGCATTGGCTGGCCTGGTTCGATGCCAGATGACCAGGTTCTGGAAAAATCAGCACTTTACCAGAGAGCCAGCAGGGATTTACTGAAAGATGTTTGGATCGTGGGGACTTGTGGCTACCCTTTGATGGACTGGGTTCTGGTGCCCTACACTCACCAGAACCTGACATGGCCGCAGAACGCTTTCAACGAGAAGATTGGGGAGATTCAAGGCGTCGCGAAAGATGCATTCGCCAGGCTGAAAGGGAGGTGGTCTTGCCTGCAGAAGAGAACGGAGGTGAAGCTACAAGACCTGCCTGTTGTGCTTGGGGCTTGTTGTGTGCTCCACAACATCTGCGAGATGAGGAACGAGGTGATCGAGCCTGAACTCAAGTTCGATATTTTCGACGATGAGATGATACCAGAGAACAGCCTTAGATCAGCTGGTGCGGCTCAGGCTAGGGATCACATCGCTCATAACCTCTTGCATCATGGCCTTGCTGGAACTTCTTTCCTATAGGTTTTTAGCTTCTCATTTCCTGATTCCATACATGAAAGTTAACAGCTTTTTTACTTGTTTTTGTTTTCCCTTTTTTCGGATTGCAAGGAAGGCTCCATACTTGTAGTGTTAGGTGGCTTTGCTGAGTTGGTTGTATTCTTATATACACAGACAGTGTAGTGTCATTCTTTTTGATGGGTCCTTGTACTATAATATACCCTGTTTGCCCGTCTGCAAAATAAGAACATAGCATCACAGTTTTCTGCTCCAAATTATACTGTTACACAAAATGCAGCAGCATTCGAGCCTACCTCTACTCAATCAACAGGAGATTACCATCGCGGAGATGCTTGTCGCTTTGGTTAATTAAATTACGTATCAGTGAGCATTTTGTTTCCTTTTCTGGGTTGGTTGTGTACAGTTGGTTGCAAGTCAGCTGCTACTGCGATGGATACTGACTGTAAATTGTCATATATATATAAGAGTTATATATTAGAGGTTGCTGTTGCTTTCTCATCTGTTGCAATCTCCCTGTCTATTTCCCAAACGGGGGAAACACAATGGTTAACTATTTTTTATATGTAAAAATCTTTTAGATTAGATACATCCCGCCGGGTTTTGATTGATTGTTTCATCAACATTATTGTCAAGAATCTGGCTTGACAAAATGAAACCAAATCTTGTATAAACAAAGATTAGGTTTAGAGAGACATCAGCGCTCACGTAATGCTTATGTACCCCATTCTCACTGAGTCACTTGTACATTTCAATCATCACTTTCTTTCTTACTACTAATTACTTTCTTTCCAATTATTCTACTAATTATTAGGACCCCAAACTATCTTAATGATCTAATTATCCAAACATAACGTAATTACGCTACGTATATAAATGACTAATAACTACTTCAATAATTTTTCAACATTCCCATCCACTCTAAAGCTATCTTGCCCTCAAGGTTGAACGAACCTGCCTACTCAACCAGCTAATGCATCATCCTCTTCCATTTCATCCTCAAATGTGCCTACAAGCACCATAAGGTGCTGAACATTGTCGCAGTACTGGCTAACAACGAACTGCTTCTCACAGGTGTAACATTTGCCATCCCAACACTTTCTCTCCATCTCCATAAGAGTCAGTCGAATGAGTCCCCCAGGTGAAAGTTGTGCCCCCTACCCTGACCCCTTTAGGCTGATGGTGGATCCATCGGTGCCACTATTGGAGTTTTTGTAGAACACGTGTAGCACACAAATAATCTTATAAAAGCAGATAGTAAACACGTTTAATTATGACCAGTAGTCTGGACTTGCATATTGCCCTTGACTTGTTGTTAGAGCCCAAGTATTCTACACGATGGCTTTTTGGCCCTTATCAAGTCGTCTTCAACCTTCAAGGAAGTGTTCTTGTTGAGAAGCAAACACACAATAGAAAAGAGTAGGGAGAGAGACATGTACACATGATATTTTGTTAACAGATTTCGGCCTATTACTTTACGTCTCGGCTCAAAAGCGAATTATCCTTTCAGACCTAGTGTGTAGGTTTTTATCTTATTCCAATCTAACTCCAAGTTGAGTCGCTTTGGGTGGAACTCAGACCCTTGACAAGAATAGAACAATATACTCCTTTCTCTCTTCATCACAAGCACTCACGCTAAAGAGAGAAGATACACAACATTACAATCACTCAAACAATACAGACAGTGAACTGCTATCACTTCTGACACTTATTGCTAATCGTAGAGTGTTTGATCTTGCTTCGTGTATGATTGCTCTGCCATATTTCGTGAGACTTGTCTTGTTGCTTCCTTCTATTGATACTTCCTTGATGCAAGGGTCTTCTCGTGATCTTTTTTTATTTGAAAGATTCTTCTTTTGATCCTTTTGTATTTTGGAGATCTTGCGATCATACTTTTAGAGGTATATCAAGTAGTAGGAATTATAGGAATTTTATTGAGGATATTACCTTTTAGATAGATGTGAGCATAAAGGGAAAACCTTTCGTTTTCCCAACAATCTCCCCTGCTTTTCTTTCTGCGACACATAAATTCTCAAGGGATACCAACCATCATAAGATATGTTAACTTGATTTTAAAAGTTCGAGACAAAGTCTAAAGAATGTAAGCGAAGGAAGAACATATCATCAATATTTCAAAAGAGACGAAGAACATATCAAAATGAGAACACATCAAAAGAGATATTAACATATACTAGATCCTAACCTGAAGTTTCCTGTGCTCCCCCTTAACAGGTTCTCCCCTTAACATGCCAACTTGTACCCTTAGAGCTAACTATGCTAACATTGTCCTTATTTTCCCCCTTGGTGGCTGGAATCCCTAAGATGGTGATAGGTTCTTGTGGTTGTAAGAATGGTAAGAAAAGAATAGGGGGACAAACCTATGTTCAATACAGTACCCATCAAAGTTACACCCAATCTCATCAAGAAACTTGGTGATAAGGGTGGCATAGGGAAGAGTAATGTTCCTAAAGTCTTCGCGTGGAGCAATCTCAGCTAAGTGAAGACACGTCAGGGAGGCAATATTGAACTTTCTTCCTCGACTAGCATTGACCAAAATGAAGAGACCAATATGCTCAATGGTGAAGAGTTGCTTAACAGGAGGAATGAAGAATATAGTGATGAGCCAGTGTAGCACCTTAAGAGGATCAAGAAGAACGAATATGTCGATGACCCCCTAAGTCAGTTGTTATAGCTCATCGGTGTAGTCAAAGTCATAGAGTTCAAACTTTGGCTATAACTAAGGGGAAGAAACTGAGATAGGAGGTGAAGTGTGGCAGGCAGTTGTTAGGGGGGCGAAGTTGACATGGAACCTAGGAAAGTTGATGCAAGCCGAGATGTTATTGATTCAGCCAGATGAAGATTGTGATAGAAATTTCATAAAATGAGAGTGCAAACGACTGAGGAATTAGGTGCTCGGAGGTCAAAGAACCCTTCCCATCCGAGATTGGCTATGACAGAGAAAACTTCATCCGGAAAGGATGATAAAAGGGGAAGCTTGTACTTACTGATAATGGGGAGCATGCTAGAGAAGAAGTAGTAATCACCTTGACTGATGACTAAGTTACACTCATCATTGGATTAAGTGAGAATGGCATCGCAGTTAGCTATTAGCAAAGGAGGTGGAGGAGAGAAGAGGAAGATGAAATGGTGATGTCTAGAAGATATACAAGTGAGATGAAACTAAACAAAGGAATTTATGAAAGGCAAAATCTTTCCTTAGTGGGAACCATAATTTTAAACTAGTGGTCACTTAGAGAGAAGAATGACACTATCTTTCATATATAATTCATGGCGGAGGTAGACGAAACGATCATAACTTAGCAGTTTAGTTAAGATATTATCCATTTGTTGATCTATATAAATGTTGGAAATAGAAATTACTTCAGCTACTAAATCTCGGAGGAAATTATAGTTGATCTCAATATGCTTAGTTCTAAAGTATTGGACTGGATTTTTACTCATACTAATGGCGCTTGAGTTATCACATAAAATTGGCAAGTTAGAGACATAGAGTACATAGTTCTGCAACTGTTGCTTGAGCCAAAGGAGTAGCATACAACAGTTTCCTGCAACAAGTTATTCATCTTCGACCGTGGAAAACATAACACATGCCTACTTCTTTGAAGCCCAGAAACAAGTGACTCATCTAGGAATTGACAGCCGCTACTCGCTAGAGGTACTTTTTCTGTTAGTCCTGCTAGGAGCAAAGTCTGAGTCTGAGTATCCTATAAATTCTAGGTAATCGGATGAGGGATACCAGATTCCTAAGATAGGGGTATGAGCAAGGTAGCGAATAATTTTTTTTTTTTTTTTGCTGCTGTTAGATGAGATTGCTTAGGATTAGCTTGGAATCTAGCACATGGACACACACTAAACATGATGTATGGTCTTCTAGATGTTAGGTATATAAGAGATCCGACCTTGATAGAGAGTTTCACCACTAGAGGTACCATGTTCTTCATGATCTAGATGAAGTGAGTTAGCAATATAAGGGGGAGTTTTTGCGAGTTTGGCAGAAGACATTTGATACTTTGCTACCAAGGAAGTGAAATACTTGCTTTGATGTATCAATATCCCAGCCGGAGTTTGATGAATTTGGAGACCCAGAAAGAATTTTAATTCTCCCATCATACTCATTTCAAAGCTACTCTGCATGAGATTGTCGAATTCAGTGTAGAGGTTTCTGACGTGGCCCCAAATACTGTGCCATCCCCATAGATTTGAACAATGAGATTACCTAAGGAAGAATGCTTAAGAAAGAGAGATGTATCTATTGATCCTCTAGTGAAGTTGTGTTATAATATGAAAGTACTTCATCTCTCATACCATGCTCTAGGAGCTTGTTTCAGTCCATACAGAGTCTCTTTAAGTTTGTAGACATGATCGCGAAGGAAGTGATTTTACAAACTAGGAGGTTGTTCGACACAAACATCTTCATTTAGAAAGCTATTTAGAAATGCACTTTTGACATCCATTTGATATAACTTGATTTTGTTTGTACTAGCAAATGCACATAGTAACCTAATTGCTTCTATCTTGGCTACTGGTGCAAAGGTTTCTTCAAAATTTATTCCTTCTTCTAGTGATGTTACATGTTTCATCCGATTTATTCCTAAAGACCCACTTAGATCCAATAACTGGCTAGTCTGTATGTCGAGGTACATGATCCCAAACCTAACCTCATTCGAATTGGTTGAGTTCTTCTTGCATAGTTAGACTCCAATATTCATATAATAGAGCTTCTTTAATGTTTTTAGGCTCTATTTGGGACATATTGGCATAGTGGATATAAATAAGAGCAAAAAGATTTTTTTTTTTGTCGTAGATCAAGTAAATAGTGGGGCATCAGGATGACCTATGATCAGGGAAGGATGGTACCTTTTCTATACACGAGAGGGTGCATTGATGTAATGGAGGTTCAGTTTCTCAGGTATTTCAGAGATTGGAGTTGCTGGTTCTAGATTTTGGGACGTAGATTTTGTTATTGTGGCAAGAAGTTGTAGTGCAAAGGAGTCCTCCTCAAATTGTGAATAGATTCCTCAATTATGTTGGTTTGTCTCTTTAAGATCCTATAAGCTTTAATTCTGGTACAATATCCTAGAAAAGTAGTTGTATTTAATTTGGGTTCAAACCTTCCTAGTTGACCTTGTGTATTTAAGATGACACAAGGACTTCCAAAAGGATGAAAGTAATTGAGATTATGTTTCTTCCTCTTCCAAAGTTCATAGGGAGTCTTTTTGACTGTACTCGGAACTCTTTTGGTTCTACCCAAAGATTTTGAGGTAGGTGACTTGTTCCTGTTGTGACTACTATCCCAACTGTGGCCAAGTGCAACCACCATCGGGTGCAATATAGTGGAAGTGAAGTTTAATTATCAACTCGGGTGACAAATGTACTATTACTTCGTGGACTACCTTATTACCTAGTCAATCGAAGGTTTGAATTAACTAATTACTACGAAACAAAGCAAAGGAAAGTTTAGCCCTAAACGAGCCAATCACTTTCTCTTTAAAGGATTGCAAATTGGCCCTGTTCGTCGATTCCATCCTGGTCAAATGGAAAAAACTTGAATACCATTGTTGCCATGCCCTCGCTGCCCCACTCGCCCCACCTCGCAACCAACACCATCTTTGCCATCTTCGTAAAAAGTTGCAACCAAAGGGGTTGAGAGAGATTTGTATTGTCGCTTATTTGGTGCTTATGATATGCACATGTGAAGCTATTCCATTACCATAGCCAAACTTAGAGGCGCCATTGAGGGACTCGAGATGGCTTAGCGCCTTGGACATCAAAAGGTGAAAATGTGGTTGGGCAGTTCAGTTACAGTGACCCTTCTTAAGAGTCAAGGTGATCCAACCAACCAACATGTCTCATCCATCCTTTTGTATTCGAGCCTTCATGAGAATAATTTAGAAATTCAACTCATCTTTATATTTAAAGAAGCCAACAATATAACTGTTTGCCTAGGTCACAAGAATCATTCTTTCTACTTAGGTACGATTGTAAATTGATTTATAAGATCATACTATTATATACCGAGCCATATATAAGTATGGTGGTAGTGTAATTTTGCACCCATTTTTATGAAAGAAAACTAATAAGGGTTGATCACTCATCATCATACATAGAAATATAAATTTAGTGGCAGTTAAAAAAGAAATATAAATTTAGGAATTTCAATTTTCAAGTGATAGAAAAATGCAAAAGGAAAACAAAAGGGTTTTTTACTGTTTTAGCCTTAGGCTAATAGCAGGGAGGCTCTCTGGGTCCGTCAGCGAGTGCTTCGTTGGTTACAAACTTACAATCATCAGAAATTCACACAAGCTCAGAGAGAGAAGAGAGGGCAAAGCGAAGCGAAGAGAGGGAGAGAGGAATTTTGAGGACGAAGAACCCTTAAAAAGTTGCGGAGAGGGAAAGTTACAAACGGAGCGGAGGTGGGAAGTGAAAGGGAATAGTAATGGAGGAGACCGAGAATCATAATAATTTGGAGGCGGTACCGGAGGAGATGGAGGTGGACGACGTGGTTGGTTCGAGCCAGACGTTGGAGAGGGTAGCTGCTGCCAAGCTCTTCATTGAGAACCATTACAAGTCCCATATGAAGCACATCCAGCAGCGCAAAGAGAGGTTCCTCTCCCTTCCCCTTCTTCCCCCATCCCGCATTTCTTTCATTCTCTCTCGCTATCCTTTCTGCATTCTTGCTTCAATTTCTGATTGTGCATGCTTTTCAATTTTGAATTCAAACCTCCGGATATCGTTGCTGCTACATAATTTTATGCGCGGAAGTTAATTAGAAAGCATAGCTTTTGTGAAATGTGCATAGAGGAAACCAGCAGGCGGCAACTTTTGTGCAAGGAAAGGCCAAATTAGGGCATTTGTCGTTGCAATTCTTATCCCTTTTGCTTCCTGGAAAAGGGAGGGAAGAAGGGTGGGCAGGCCTGTCCTCAATGTGTTGATTGTCATTTCCTTTTATTAGTATCCTAGAAGCCGGATTTCTTTCCACTTTTCTAAAGGGCACTTGCAAATTTCTCTAATCATGTAAAGTAGGACTGTCATAAGAGAAACCTAGATGACTCGCACTGGGTTGTGTTTTTTGGCTAATAGTTTTCCATGCTTGCTTAGCACTTTAATTTAGTGGCAGTTTTGTGGTCTCGTAGGCAATGTACCTCCTGTGGTGGCTTTGTGTTCTTTTATTAATTTTGGTGATGGGAGTAAATGTTTTGGGTTTTGAAGAAATTCCTTTACCTTGCAGGCGATCTGAGCTTGAAAAGGTGTTGGCCACATCCCATGTTCCTGAGGAGGAGCAAATCAATCTACTGAAGAATTTGGAGCGCCAAGAAACTGAGTATATCCGGCTCAAGAGACACAAGATTTGTGTAGATGATTTTGACCTTTTGACTATAATCGGCAGAGGAGCTTTTGGAGAGGTTAGATATGTGCATATTGACTTCATTGTATTCTTTCTTTCCCCATGCACTTGGTAATTGGATACAGTTATAGTAATCGATGTGTCCTCTTGAACATTTGACTATTCATAGTAATGGATGAAAGTATCCAATCTGCCCCAGCTTCAAATCTTTTGGCCTAACACGAAACTACAGGAGAAAATTGATATGAATGTCTTATTGGCGATTGGTATGTAAGGTTTGGCTAGCAGAAGGATATTTAGAGTTTTTCCTTGCTGTTTCCTTAAGTGATTCCTGGGACTATACTGTGCATTGCTATAACATAAGAAACAAATTTGCAATGCTTAGCAATAGTCTAACATTAATTGCTCTTTCCGGAATCGTAAGTTTTTTGTGGGATTGACATTTGGATCTGTTTCTCCGTACAAGCAAGTTGACTCCTTCAATAAGGGTTTGGCAGCCATTGAATAGTTAATAGGAGCTGAGAAAATGAGTGTGAATATAGTGGTAGGGAAGGTGCTGGGGGAGCAGATTGCACCTAACCAGTCATTTAAGACTGATATGAATTATGATAAGTTCCTGGTCTGTTTTTCATGGTTCTCCCTCTTTGTACATCTAGATGAATTTTTTTCGATGTGTACTCTTTCTGATTTGGATATTGCATCTAGATACTCTAGTATCTGATTTTTCTCATTGCTCTAAACCCTGAACTTTGATTCAGTATTGTTATGTTTAAAGAGGGATACTCAGATATGATGTTGTTTTGCAGGTTCGATTATGCAGGGAGAAAAAGTCAGGATGCATCTATGCCATGAAAAAATTGAGGAAGTCAGAAATGCTCAGCAGAGGACAGGTGAGATAAGACTTGATAATTCACAGCTGTCGTCAATGCCTTGCTGACAGAGAAAAGAAGCAAGTAAAAACAACCATGTGTATTGTTTGTTGAGCTATCTCACCTGCCTTGCTGAGTTTTGGTATTTATTCATGCTGGAAAACAGCCATTGCAGTCTACGTAGCTATCTTCTACATGGCTTTAGTCCAATGATATTCTCACGCTATGTTTCTCTGTACGTGCATGGCTTTTGTATATGCATTTTAGGTTGAACATGTCAAAGCAGAAAGGAATTTGCTTGCAGAAGTTGCGAGTGACTGCATTGTGAAACTCTACTACTCGTTCCAAGATGCCGATTACTTGTACTTAATAATGGAGTATCTTCCTGGTGGTGATATGATGACATTATTAATGAGGGAGGAGACTTTGACTGAAACTGTTGCCCGGTTTTACATTGCTCAAAGTGTTTTGGCCTTAGAGTCCATTCATAAACATAACTATATACACAGGTAGGTAATGCTTTCTTATTGAATGATGGAGAAATTTATATGGTTAACTCTAGTTTCTGAAGCTGAATTACCATTTACCTTGATTTTCTGAATTCATGAGTCCTATTCTTCATTCTCAGAGATATTAAACCTGACAACTTATTGTTGGACAAACATGGGCACATGAAACTCTCCGATTTTGGTCTCTGTAAGCCTCTAGATTGCTCAAACTTATCCACTATCAATGAACATGAAGCCCTTGATGATGAGAATTTGAAGGAATCAATGGATGTGGATGGTCGATTCCCAAATGCTGGTGGAAGGCCGTGGAGGAGCCCTAAAGAGCAACTAGAGCACTGGCAGATAAATAGGAGAACACTGGTAATGAGCCTGCTTGCTTTAAGCTATGCTCATGACTTTCTTTTCATGTTACCTAGTGAACTTTCGTCCTAGATTAAAGTTTCTTGAATGCATTGAACTTTGAGATGGATCTTTGGTCAGACTGTATTACTGTATAAGCGTACAGCTCTTATACCTTAATTTATGCCTATTGATATGCCATGGAACTTTGAAGTTTGCACACACTATGAAGTTTGATGAAGTATGCCACGTCTCTAATGCAAATAAGTTTCGTTCGATTTTCAGAAATTTCCTTATTTTAAGCATTTTCCTACAACAGGCATATTCTACAGTTGGCACACCAGATTATATTGCTCCAGAAGTGCTCCTTAAGAAAGGATATGGCATGGAGTGTGATTGGTCAGTATAGATTTCCCCTTTCTCTTGAGATTCACGCAATAGGCATGATGTTTGGTTGCACTTGCTTACCGACTTCAGTTGTAGGAATTGTCAAAAATAAACCTCTGTGCTGATTGCAACAGGATTTACAGTTCTTACAGTCTCCATTGTAACAAGAACTAACATATTCATAAAACAGGAGCAGAACAAACTGGTTAAATAATCATAAATGGATGTAGGGAAGCCATATTTGTTCTGGTTGTGAGTTGCATATAGTCCAGAGATAAATTGAAGTTGTCACTAGCTAGTAAGTCAGTTCAAAAAAGGATCTTGCTGACCGTTAAGTTAGGACTAAGATCATTATCATCGTTGAGGTGCATGCACCATAGGCTAAAGGTTTTAAGCTAATGCAAACTCTTAAGTAAGTTTTCACATCAACCATCGGCGAAAAGCTACATGATCGTTTTATCAAACATGACAAGCAGCATTGTTAAGATAGAGAAATAAACTAGTCTCCTGGCACAGATTATTAAAGAAAAGGAGAAAGATACCGGTGATCCTGAATTCGACGTGGTTTGGAGAATCCCTTGTTTTCATGTTAGAATTAAAGAATTGATGGCAGCCAAGGCTAACGAGTTCTTTCAACTGACTAATCAGCCACTCCTTAAAAGCCAGACATTGCAGGAATGTTTAATTGGCTCGCTGATGAAATAAAAACCGAAAGTTCTTGAGATCTTCGACACTTTCATACTAGTACAATTATACTTGGCACCTGAACCACGACATACCGTACAGTGGAAACTTACTGCACGGTCTAGTCAGCAGAGTACTTTTTCTGTTTTATTTCTGAATGTTGTTTGATCTCCAAAATAATGGAGTATTTGGTTTTTGTGAGGTCACTGATTGCATTATTCTTGCTGCAGCGCTACCACAGTGCTTACTATTCCTCATTAATTTAGTCTCCAAGCTTTTCCCCCCTGCAGGTGGTCACTAGGAGCCATAATGTATGAGATGTTGGTTGGTTATCCTCCATTCTATTCCGATGATCCAGTAACCACTTGCAGAAAGGTGTACATGCTGACTCCATTAATCGTGTTAGAACAGGACCATGTTTGGATGGTTAAGTGATGGGCATTCATGTTATGCGATCGCTAGCATCCTTATAAGAGTGCTTTTGGCAGCATGCACATCTGGGTATTTATGCTTTGTTTTTGTGCATGGGACCTATTATATGCCTGGGAGCATACTGAAACGAGGGACCTGTTTGTTCAAACAGATCCTTTTTATAAGCAGGCTTTATATTTTTATTGATTGTAGTTCTGAGTCGAATCTACTGTAGCCAATTGGTTAGCTGAAGGCACATGTTCTTCATTCTTCACTCGCCGCCCCCCCCCCCCCCCCCCCCCCCCCCCCCCCAAAATTATTTGCATTTTTCTTGTGCTTTAACCAAGCTAAGTTTGACATGAGCATTCCATGTACTTGTATCTCGTCTTCCCACTCATTGTGAAATTAGGTTTCCCATTGATCATCAGCCATCTTAGACTAATATGGATTGACATCAGATTTGTGGGAAGGTTGGATACTTGATGCATTTTTTCACAAGATGATGGTGCTTTACAGATTGTGCATTGGAGAAATCACTTAAGATTTCCAGAGGATGCAAGGTTGACACCTGAAGCAAAAGATCTGATCTGCAGGTTGCTTTGCGATGTTGAGCACAGGCTTGGTACTCTTGGCGCCTCTCAAGTCAAAGTATGGTTGATGCATTATTTAGAGCTATTTTGTCATTTTTCAATTTATAGAAAGACCTTCATTGCACAAAAGGAAAGAATGACCTTCTGTCTCATAATTCTTCCTTCTGATTTCTTGGTCACTGCTAGGCTCATCCTTGGTTCAGAGATGTTGCTTGGGAAAGAGTATACGAAATGGAAGCAGCATTTAAACCAGAGGTCCATGGTGAACTTGACACTCAGAACTTCATGAAATTTGATGAGGTATGGCATTAGACTTGCAACAGTTCCTTTGAAGGTGAAAGAAAACCGATTTTCTATTATTATTGTTCTACTTCTGTTTGGTTCATCTTCATTACTCTGTATCCGGAGTACAGTACATACGAGTTAAGTCAAAGCACGATCTTCTATGTTTGAGTATGATGATCTTTGTGATAATTGATGGGAGATATCACCAATATATTCTTAGTCATATTAAACTTTATATGATGCGTTACGGTAAAACTGTGCTGAGTGTCCCTTGTCTATGCAAATTACTATGAAAAACGACAATATAGGTCTTAGAGAGAGGTTCCTTGAAAGTTTTGGGCACAGAGTTGAAGGTTTATGTGCTTTATCCAGAAAAATAAAATACCTACCATCACTGAATGCTACAAAGCTACTAAATCCAATGACGAGATAGGTCTTCGTCAAAGGTTCCTTGCTGTTGAGTGTTTTACAAGTTACTAAATTGACCTAATGCAACAAAGCTAATGCCTTGCTGGTCATAAGAAGAAAAGGACATTTCCTCGTAGTGGATATAGCTCTCAACGGAATTGACTGTTTCTTGAACTCGGTAAAGAAAGATACTGGCAAATTAAAATCAAGTTTATATTTAAGATACTTTCATATTAAAGAACACTGACCAGCTGATGCAATTGCAGAAACTGTTTAAATTTTGCAGTGACTTGTCACTTTATGATTGGATGTGGGTTGAGTTTTTCACCCACTTGAATGTTTTCCATGCAACTGCTGTGAGATTTATGTAGCTTTTTCTATAGATTCCTTAATTTACCTTTGGCTTTTAACCTCAACTAAATTCTAGTATTGCATGGCCTTTTTGGGCATTTAATTGCCATTATTTCCTATGATATGTCTATTTAAATTCAATTCTGATGTAGGTGGAACCTCCGCCACTAAGAACTGGATCTGGACCCATGAGGAAGGTAATTGTTTGTCCATTTTTAATTTTGTAAACTAAAACCAAACCTGGGTAACAGAACTATAGACGGAATGACTGGTAAAAATTTCCAGAATAAGGTGGGTAAAATGAAGCCTAATCCGGCAGGGCATAGCTCGCTCAGCTAACTTAAGATCTCACTTAGATTTATTTATTTATTTTTATGGTTGTCAAACTTAGATTTCTTTCTCTCAGAAGAAAAAGAAAAACAAAAAAATTGTAGATTTTAATAATTTATGATGCAAAGAAATGGTAGCTGCTCGGTGCCAACTATGTTTGATCCAAACTTCAACTTTCTGTGTGTCTTTAGAAGGCATTTCAGACTTCCATGCAGTTGGGATTTCAGCTGATATAGCAAAATGGCTAATTGTAGAGCATATGCCTTACAAGTTTCTGCCTCACAGTACCATATAACTACACTTCCTTTTTCTGTTTGGATTCCAACACGACTTTGGTTAAAAATCGTAGCTTGTCAACTGGAGAACCCTATTTGTTTCTTGCCAAACCATATGATCTGTGTCGTTGGTTCTCTTGTCAGATGCTATTGACTGCTGAGGATATGAGTTTTGTGGGATATACGTACAAGAACTTCGATGCTGTCAAAGGTCGTCATTTATTTGGTACACGACTTCTTTTAACTCGTGACAAATCTTCCCTTCATCCTGAAATTTGCATCTCATACTTATTTTGTGTACGTACTAGTAAATCAGCATCTAGTCAATACAGTCTGGTGTCCAAATTCTGTTTCTATATGCTGCGAGAATACCTGTTTGTTTAGGTAGATTTCGCTTTATTTGGCACATATTTATTGTACTTGTATGTGGTTTGATTCTAGGGTTATTATATGTAGCTCTCATTACAAGCATTTTCACTTTCAATGGAAGTAGTTTTTACACTAGTTAAAAACTTGGGATTGCTGCACTTGCAGCGTCATGTTATTTCCCCTTGTGAAGTTGTGATCCCTCTTATACAAAGCTCATTCTTGATTCATTATTTAGTTTCACCCTTTCCGTGGCAGATGTGAAGAAGGGCTGTTTACCTCGCCAGACATCTGCCGACTCTTGTTACAGTAAAACATCCCTAGATCTTATTACTTTTACCGCTCTTAACAGGTTGTTTTGCCAACTCACACACACTCTCTGGATGTTGCAGGTGATCCAGGTGTGGAGTACACTTCCAATTCCAAAGACTCCACTGATAAAAAGGACGGCAGGAAGTTTGCTTCGTCGGGAGATCTACTGTCACAATGAAAAAAAGAAGAAATGAAAGAACAAGAAGCATGTGTTGTTACAATTGCAACCAGCCAGCCATACATTCTCAGACTTCATCCGTGAAGATGGCGGCCATTCCTGGTTTCTTTTTTGGTCAGGATTAGCCGTGAACCCGAAGCCATCAATAAACATATCCCGGTGTCATTACCCCTCGCTTGTGTAATATGAGCTCTCTGTGTACAGTAGTATCGCCGGAGCAGCTTTTTTTTCCGTGATGTTTTGTAGCTACTGATTACCTATATGGGTGTGTAAGTGTAAAAAAGAAAAGAAGTCTGAAACTGAGAGGGCCTTATATTGATTGCCCAGGTTGGAAGATGCAAAAATCAACTGTTACATCTCCACCTTGTGGCGGCCATTTCATTCAGACTCTCCTTTGCCTCCATTTTTCTTGGGAGGAAGTATCGTGAATCATGTACTGAGGCTGTAATATGGTTTTTACTGTTAGAATCTGTTCCGACGAAAAGATCCAGCTGCCTTTGTGCAATTTAAACCTGCTCGTATCTGAACTGAGTAAGTCGCGGACGCCTATATCCTACACTGCAGAAGCATGAATTCCAGACCAGGCAGGCAATTCAACTACCCTACTTGCGTGCCACTATGTGCATAGTTGCATTTGCAGAATGGGGGGACATTACTAATCTAACAGTTACTTGCAGAAAGAAATGCAGAGGTTGAGAGCAATGTAGAAATCAGAAGCCATAGGCGATCGAAGTTGTTAAAACACTACTCGAGGAACCTGATCAAGGTTGTCCTACTGAAGCTGGTCGTCTTGCTTGCAAAATGTAGTCTCGCGAGCTACCTGAGAGTTCAGCAAGATATGGAGCCGGAAGGGACTTTGATACTGCGAGTTCATCGTGGCAAATTAACTCGTAAAGCTACATTCGATGAAAGCAAACAACTCCAGCATGGTTTTCAGACTCATAATCCACTAGGTACTGAGTCATTCGATGTCCGTGAGGCATTGATCTCCTGTAAATGATCATGAACCATTGCCAAAACTAGACAAATGATGAACTACCGCGTTATTACGAGATTTCTAAATTCGTTACATATCCGTAATAGCTTCACTACTGAAGGGAAGTGGCTAGGTGTTTTGAATGTATTGCATAGCACAGGTTTGATTGAAGAACGAAAATAAAATGGCAAAATTAAGTGCAAATAACAGCTCGATCAAAGTCCATAGATGGCAACTTGAGGAAATATTAAAAAAAAAAAATCTTAATTAGAAAACAAAAAGATTCAACGAACTGAAAAACGACGTCGTAGAATCACTGTCCAGCCTCCTCCAGCCTCGTTTGCCGATCCCTTGTTCCATTATTCTTCTTCCTCTTCGATTCACTTCCTCGCCGGCGCAAATCTCCCCCTCTTCCTCCCCGCCTCTCCCTCAATTGCTCTGCATCCCTAATTATTCATTAATCCCTTCCGCTGAATCCCTAATCCCTCAAAGGGCTACAAGGAGGAATTCCGCCATCATCTCCTCCATCCAATCCTCGTTGGAAGCTTCATCAAGTTTTTTTTTTTGGTCATTGGTTGATTGATTTCAAGTTGTGGCAACTGGTAGAGCAACTCAGTAGATTGTTCGCATTACCGCCTAATCGCCGCCTTCAGCAGGCGAGTTCGAAAAAGCTTGCTGCGGTGGAATCGAGACTTCCCCTGGAGTCTCTTTACTTTAAGCAAAACAGGAAAGGCAGGGTGTTCAAGGTTGTAACTTGCCTCGAACTTCCTTTTCTCCTTCTTATCTAAGCAGGTTTGTGATTTCAGTTTTTTTTTTTTAGTCAGTACTGCTGCTGACTGCTATCTGGACTTGAATTCTGTTTCGTTGTGTTGATTTGATATGATCTCAGTTTTTGGGTTGCTTCCAGCCGATGTGATTTTGTTTTCCTTTTCTGGAATGGCTGAGTTCAGTTGGAATGTTGAAGTTGAATTAAGTGCTGCAAGTGGAGGAAAAATTATAGAAAAGAGAAAAGAACACATTGTACTGTTTAGAACCTTCCCAGATTTGCTGGGTTGAATTTGTGGGGATGTGAATGCGATTGAAGTTTAGTTTGTGCGGGGGGAACTTTTTTCTGTTTGACCGGGATTTGGAAAAGGTGGCTAATGTTACTAATCTGAGAGTTAACTTCACCATATTAGTTTGTTGTCTATTTGACGGCTGATTGCACTGAACGCCTGTTAGAAGATGAAGGGAAATTCCATAATCTTTGACCTGTTGTAATGGCTCTGATGCATTGATTATCTGGGTTCACCTAAAATTTGAGCGAGTGAAGCAGAGCTTGTCCAGTTTCTAATTCATGGAGACTTGTCACTTTATTCCTTTCTCTATCACAATGAGGATCATCCAAAGTTTGGGAGGTTATGAGATTTATTTAGTGGTGAACGGTTCCGGCCTGTTATAAGCTTTTTGACTTGAGTTCTCATTGTTCAAATTCTTCTTTGCAGGTGCATTGACTTTTGAAACCTAGACTGGTCTTTATGTGCCGCATTGGTACAGTTTGTCATGCATTGTCGTATGTGTTGGGCTTATAACACAGAGGATGTGAGACAACCTATACAATGGCTACATCTAGTAAGTTCGATACATCTTCTGGTAGCCCAGATAGGCCAGTGTACAACAGTGTCCAGCGTGGATCCCATACCGTCACTCAATTGGATAGATCAAGTAGTTTCCGTGAGACCATGGAGGGTGGTCCAGTCCTATCCTCTCTCCCAAACACAATGAGAAGTGCTTCTGTGCTATCACAGGGAGATGTGACAAATTTCCTCCAATGCTTGCGTTTCGATCCAAAAAATGTAGCAGCAGACCATAAAGCTAGTCGTCAAGGGGATTTTAGACGACACCTAAACGTTGCCCTTAATGTCTCTGTGGACGATTCCCAATCTGTTTCATCGAAAGGAAAGGTTACACAGGCTCCCACACCTGAGGAAATAAAGAGAGTCAGGGTTAGTCTTCGTGAATGCTCTGTGAAAGCAAGGTAGGGTTTCTAGATCTTCCAGTCCTTCCTACTTGTAATTATTGCCTGATGTTTTTACTTGTTGATGAAATTTTATCTCAATGGCAGGGAGCGTATGAAGATCTTCAGTGAAGCGTTATCTGTATTTAACAAGTTCTTCCCAGCAGTACCCTCAAAGAAGAGATCTAGATCAGAAAGTTTGTCGAATGACCGCTCCGGTCCCTTATTATCTAGTGAACGTTCAGTTTTGGGCCAAAGCCTTAGTAAGATGGCAATTCAGAATCATGGTGTTACCAGCAACTTTGATCTGGAACAGCAGAAGCTAGAAGAACGAACCAAAAGTGTTGTTCCAAACAAACGCACTCGCACTTCTTTGGTGGATGTGAGGGTTTGTATTCTGTTACCTTACTTCCTTGTATACATGAAATGGTGATTCCCCTTTGATTCGCCATCTTAATTGACTTGTGATTTCCATTTGAGTACCTTCTATGGAATTGTATGCCACTCTCTGAATGTGAACTACTACTTCTCTTTTTTTTGGTCTCCATGTTGATCACTAATGTGTCTAGTCATATTCTCTACAAAGTGGTATTCTGGATTTATTTAGTTTTCATTCTGGGCTTTCCAGGCATGAGTTTGTGCTAATGGGTTTTTACTAGTTTCTCTGTTGGCTCTCAAGGGACGTGCCCTTTCCTGCATCTACTTGCTTTAAAAAGAAATTTGGCTTTTATTTTAATGTGCAGAGCAATGCCCTTGCCAGAGCACCTGGTACTGCAGATCGAGATAGGGAAGTACTGAGGCTCGCAAGTAATGGCACTGTTCAGACTGACGAACGGACATTATCAATTGGTGTTGATGGTTGGGAAAAGACAAAAATGAAGAAGAAGCGCTCTGGGATTAAACCTGATGCTTCTGCAAGTTCAGTCTCCACAAAGCCCACTGACTTATACCGTGATCCTAAACAGGGACTGCAACAAAGAGCTGCTACTGACGCCCGTTCAAGGTTGAACAGTGACTCTCATGGTTTCAGGTGTGCAACTAGTGTCTGTTTATTGTTTCCTGCTGCATACATCTATAACTAAGGTGTTAAGTTGGTGCTTAATTGTTCAGAAACTTGAGGCCCCCACTTCAGTTGTTTTTGGCAACCTACTTGATAATGCTTGTTTGAATGAATCTACAAATATGATCAGATATAGTGAGGCAAGCAGAAATGATGAATATTTCTATCTGCGAGACTTTGGTGATTTTGATTCAAATAGTGGTGCCCTTTTTGTTTATTCTTTATTCCATCTTGCGATGTGGCATGGTCTCCATCTTTGGTTTAGCCTTGAAGCAGTAAGAAAATTGTATTGGTGCTCAACAGCAAGAGTTAAAAGACCTTATCTACACATCCTCGTGATATTATAATGCAATTTTAAGGTGCTTTTTGAATTCTTGATCATGCTTATCAGTTCAATTTGCTATACTTTGTTGTACATTTACAAATCTTAGGCGTTTGACTACGAAGAACTTTCAGTTAAGATTTGACTTGCTTGATGTATAACATGTTTGAGGGTTGTAAAGTTCTAGTAATTACCAGAACTGTGGTTTGTTCTGAAATGTGGACAATGATACTTACTAAGGTGTTCAAACAATTTGCTGGTTGCTTCCTAATAATTATAAAAAATAACTGTCCGCTTTCCATGCTTGATTCTTAGTTCATTTTGATATGCCCAAATCAATTTATTTTAGTCTTTATTCAAACGAGTTCAGCATTTGCTTTTTAACATGATCATGTACTCTTTTGATGATTACTGATTTATATTTCAAACTTTTAGGCCAGGGGTTGCAAGTGCTGGTGGTGTTGGAAAACCCGACAGTGTCTCTCAGTCACCAGGCTTGGGCATGCGCTCATCCGTCCCTGAAAATGGTTCTGTTCTAAATGATAGGAGAGAGCGCCCAGTCAGTTCAGATAAAGAAAGGGCAAATATTAAAAGTGTTAACAAGTATGTGACACACCCCAGGCTCTGTTGTAGTAGGGATTGTGTAATATTATCCTTCAAATTTCAACCTATCTGCTCTCTCTCCTGCTCGCTCACTAGATAATGTTTACAGTCGTAATGCACTGACTTCCTTTATTGTCCATGATACTCAGGTCAAATGTTCGTGATGATTTAAACTCAGCTAGTCCTACATCAAGCACAAAAGTAAATCCATCTGTTCGAGCTCCCCGATCAGGCTCTGTTGGTGCACCCAAGTTGTCCCCGGTTGTGAACCGTGCAACTACTGCCAGTGACTGGGAGCTCTCCCATTGTACAAACAAGCCACCTGCTATTGGAGCTAATAACCGTAAACGCACTGCATCTAATCGTTCTTCGTCTCCACCTGTGGCCCAGTGGGCTGGCCAGAGGCCCCAGAAGATCTCTCGCACAGCAAGACGAACAAATTTGATGCCTATAGTTTCTAGTAATGACGAGGTTTCAGCTGTAGATACTGTATCAGATATATCCGGTAATGAAACTGGGATGGGACTTTCTACTCCCAGGCGTTTGTCAGCTGGCTCTCCTCAACAGATAAAACTAAAAAGTGAGCCGTTATCATCTGCTGCACTATCTGAAAGTGAAGAATCAGGGGCTCCTGAAATCAAATCTCGAGACAAACCCAAAAAGTCTGATGAAATAGATGAAAAGGTTGGGCTAAATGTTCAGAAAGTATCAAGTCTTGGTACACCATCAAGGAAGAATAAGCTGATGCAAGGAGAAGAGCTAGGAGATGGTGTGCGAAGGCAAGGAAGGACTGGGCGTACTTTCTCCACACCAAGGTCTCTCGTGCCCATGGGCGTGGAGAAGCTTGGACCAGCAAAACAGATTCGAAGCGCGAGGGCTAGTTCTGACAAAAATGAAAGGTCAAACATTTGATCTCCCATTTTATTCTTTCCCATGATAAATTATATGTCCCGATTACTACTGGATTAGCTCCTTATGATGCTTATAGTTGGTTGTAATTCTTCGCTCAGCAAACCTGGTCGTCCACCAACCAGAAAACTATCTGACCGCAAAGCATATACCCGTCAGAAGCATACTGCTGTCCATGCAACATCAGATTTTCTCGGTACTTTCTCAGCATTCTTTTAAATGAAGTTAAGCTGCAAAGGCTTATGTTTTGGTATTATTGTTACTTAACTTTTTGGCTTGATCATTTTAGTTGCTTCTGATGACGGGCAGGAAGAATTACTGGCTGCTGCGAATGCTGCCATTAGTCATGGTAACGTGGTGCCATATTGACATGACAGTTGCTTTGTTGGGAAACTTCATCCTTTCTGCCGTTTGTTTACTATGTATTAATTTATTATTTTCTTTGTATTAGCATCCCAAGTGCTGTCTTGTCCATTCTGGAGGCAAATGGAACAATTCTTTGGCTGCATAGCGGATGTCGACCTTGAATATTTGAAACAGCAGGTGAGCAACACTTTTTTGGTTCATCTATATAAGCATTACCAATTCTGAAACTAGCTTCCCTTATAATTTGTTGATTGGCAGGCAAATTTGGATCCTATTGTGTCGCCAGTGCCTTTTTCCTCTGATGCCCACATCTGCAGTAACATCTCTAATGGATATAGATTAATTGACCAAGGGAGAGAAGTCAGGTGTGCCACCGAAACAACTGGCGTTGAACTTCATCCGGGAGAGTCTGTGGTTGGTACAGGGGATAGTTCTCTCTGCCAGATGCTTTTAGCAGCTATAATCTCAGAGGATGACTGTGGCCTTGAAGATGAGGACAATGAATTCGGTGCATATGAAACTGGATTTGAACCGGATCGGGTACTGGGTTTAAGTGGATTGGATCACCTGGATAGTTTCCGGGCATCTACGCAAGCTGTATTTAATGATTACAAAGTGACAGTAAAGCCAGGACATGATTCTTCAGAAATTAATGTATTAGGTACCACAAAGGCAGGTACTTATTCAAGCTCCATCCATGCTACAAATGGTGTATTTTCAGATCAGATACCAATACCTATAGCAGGTTCAGAACTCCAGTATGATAACATGCGTTTAAATGAAAAGCTGCTTCTGGAGGTTCAAAGCATTGGAATATTTCCAGAATCAGTGGTAAGTTTCCAAATGTGGAGGCTTTTTTATAGTGATTGGTTTCATCACTGTCATTATTTTATTGTTTGTCAGTTAGTGTTTATTTTTTCTGATTGTGTTGTGAGTCGGTGTTTGTCATGTGCGTTTAGGCTTAATATGGCCACCTTGTTCTTGTTCTTGTCCTTGTTAATTATTAATTTTCTCCCATTGATCTCTATTTCCTTCGTTGCAGCCCGCTGTGCATACTGAGGACGAAGGAATCGCTGTGGACATCTGTAAGTTGGAGGAGAAGCATGCTGAACAGGTATCCTTTAGATCATTGTTTAGGGCTTTAGGCTCCCATATCAGGCTACTTAGCTTATCTCTTCAACAAACACTTCTTGGAACTTTACATGCATCTAATTCACCTGGCTTCAGCTGTATGTTGCTAGTTTTTTTTTTTGTCCGCTGTGTTGATCACTGGTTATAAGTTGGTCGAATCATTTTATTTTTTGTCATGCAATACTACTGAGTTCCCACATTTTCAAGGTACTCGATGATCTTATGTCTCTAACTTTGGCTGTTGCTGCGATAGGTCTTGAAGAAGAGAGGTTTAGTTGATCAACTGTTGAAAGCTGCCACGGAAACAAAAGAAATCCAGGAAAGGTAAGTAGTCATCTTTCTTTACTTGCTAAATGAAGTAAATTATGTTCCTTTTCAGCTTTGCTGTTATATTATCATGACTCAAAATCCAATATGTTTTATTAGGGAACTTGAGCAACGTGCTTATGAAAAGCTCACTACAATGGCTTACCACAAATACATGGTACATTTCCTAACGAACCTCTGTGTATGCTAAGTCACTTGTTGCTACTGTTAATCTGGTATGCTTAATAGGATACTCAAAGCGAATACCATCCTTCAGTTGTTATGAGTGCATGATTTGGAAATAGGAACAGAACTTCAAAAGAAGCTAATTGTATTTTCTAAAGCAAGATCGCTGGATTGTGGACATAATGTGTGGACGAATATGGTGCAATTATTATTTGGTGTCCCAACTCTTGCTGCTTACCTCAGACAGCCGATATTTAGAATCATGCTCATTTGGTTTAGATTATGTTGGCTGCATTAGCTTCTGGTCTCAGTTTCAACTCCACATTTACTGCCTAGTCACATCCTTTATGTTCTTTCCATTAGTTTTTTGTATGTTCATTTTGCAAAATTTTCAGCATGATTTCAACTTGATAGAATGGATAATTAGTTTAAATCTTTCAACTGGATGTGTTCTACTCATTCTGTATTAGTGTCTGGTGGAAACTGCCATCGTATTTGCATGTTCATTTTGCAAAATTTTCAGTATGATTTCACGATCCTGATTTCTTTAATAGGCTTGTTGGGGATCCACTGGCGGGAAGACTTCCAACAACAAAATGGCCAAGCAATCTGCCTTAGCATTTGTCAAGCGCACGCTGGAGAGGTGCTATAATTTTGAAGATACGGGTAACGGCTGCTTTAGTGAACCCATGTTTAAAGAAATGTTCCTCTCTGCACCTTCACAAGTCAATGGTTCACAAATGGTGGACTACACTGTGGATGCCGAACCTGCTAAACCATTTGTTGCTGCCTCAAGCCGATTATTAGATCCCAGAGTTTCAGGTACTGTTGTCGACTTACGGTTTACTTTATTATTTTCGTGGCTTTCAACTGCTACCATTTGCATTTCTCTGGTCTTCCCTTGTGCTTTTTGCTTTTTCTGGTCATCTGGCGGAAGTTGGACTGTTATTTTTATCTTCTTTGCAGCTTCCACTGGGTCACAGCTAAGTCCTCAAACTTCACGACTTAGTCAGAATGGGGATGGCCATGTTGCTAATCCCTGTGACATGCTTCCACCTGTACATCGTGGATCTGGTAAAGAAGATACATGGTCAAATAGGGTGAAGAAGAGGGAATTGTTGCTTGAAGATGTTGGTGGTGGTACTACTGCTACCTCGTCAGGGATTGGAGGTTCTCTATTAAGCAGTACTAAAGGAAAGAGGAGTGAGAGAGACAGGGAGGGAAAGGGACACAACAGAGAGATATTATCTAGGAACGGAACAAGTAGAAGTGGACGGCCGGCTCTGTCAAACTCTAGAGGAGAAAGGAAATCTAAAGCGAAACCGAAACAGAAAACAACCCAGTTATCTGTTTCTGTGAACGGCCTTCTGGGCAAGACTGAACATCCCAAACCAACATTGCCCTCTGAGTCTAAGCGGACTCATCAGACTTCTGGCAGCAATGCCAAAGAAAAAGATGGGTTTGGTTTGGATGTACTTGAAGACCCTGATTCTCTTGATTTGTCCAATATTATACCAGGAATAGATGATGATGGCCAAGGACAGGATCTAGGTTCATGGTTGAATATTGACGATGATGGGTTACAAGACCTTGATTTCATGGGTCTTGAGATCCCAATGGATGACCTTTCGGACTTGAATATGATGGTTTGAAGTCTTTCTCCTGTATAGTCTTGTTCATTATATTATTGACAAACAAACATAAGCAATGTTATAAAGGAAAGGTGACCACTTACTTGTAAGGTCATTTTGCTGCCGGTCCACAGTTAGGTTATATAGATTCTTTTGTAGGGTTCACAAGATTTTCAAATGAATTTCAGATCCTTTTTTATGCTCCTGTATCAAGTTAGTGACTCCGAATGTAAAGATCTCTGTTTAATGTTCAAGGTAGTACGTTTCAGTGTTTACGTCTAAGCAACAGCACTGTGTCGTGGCTGTAGCTTCTGCAAATCAGAGAACAGTGTCATTGTACATACATTTTATATTTCTAATAAGATGAGCTTCCATTCAGTGTTACTTTTTTCTTTTTCTTTTCCTTTCTGGGAGACTAACTCATTTTGGAAATGTCCTTATCATTTTTCAGACGATCTTGTTGTCCTTTAAGATTTACTTCATTAACCTCTTGTAACAGCGTGGATTGCTGGGACATTCTATGTATACTATCCCCCTGTCAGCAAGGTAGTGCAATGAAAGATCTGAAAATGTTAGCACTGTCTGCTCTGCATATAGTTCTGGTTGCTGCATACTTGAGATTTTGTAAGGTTATGTCCTGCATAGTTATGTTCCAGACTGGTAAGATCTTTCCTGTTTCTCGTTATTCATAGTAACATCGTTCTGATTTTATTTTCTTCCGTAGCTCTTTGTTAGTTCTTTGCTGCAGATTTCAACTATCCATGAGATGCCCAGGTTCGGTCAAATCATAATTCGTGTGCACAGTTGTTGCGACCACTGTGCCTACCTTGTAACTGAAAACCAATGTCTGCTTCTGACTAATGCTTATGATTTCAGAAGGGAATTATGTTCGTGAATGGTTTCTGCATTGGATCTGGATCCTCTGATCACCATATAGCTTCTCTGGTCCAAGTGAATCATGCATCGAATTGAAGATTGCGTAGGTCAGTAATATTATTCTTATGGTCTGTGTGCTTATTGATGTCTTTCTCCCTTTTCCATTTTTCCTTGGATAAATATTTGCCAGTATTTATGATGTTAGTGGTGACTCACTATGAGACTTGCTCTGTCATCCTTTCCTTGGGCATATATCATTTGTGGACTCATTGAAGTCAAATCAGCTACCGGTGATTTTTGTTCAGAACGCTGGAAATCACCATGGCATGTGGGTCGAGGTGGTCAGAATACCATTTTCATTCAGAAATTTTCTCTTGCCTCGTTTTGGTGCCACTTATTTGATAGACTTGGTTTGCTGGTTTTAGTCTCAGATTTTTAATCACTCTTTTCTGTGGAGGGTTAACTGTGAAATCGACTGATGCAGAAACATCCCTACGAAGGAAATTTATTCTGTTCAAGTTGTCTTGTGAATCTGGCTGCTCTTTTGTGTGGGTTTGTATTATATCTTCAATTGTTGGTTATGCTGGGTGGATTGTTTCACCATTACTTCACGGATCACCGAACAATATAGGTGAGAAGATCTGGGTTGAATTTGGTGGTGCTGGTGTAAGTAAAGAGGCTGTAAGTCTTTGTTTCATAATGCAAGAGCTTTATATTCTTTCGCCTCCTGTTCTGCTATCTTTCTGAGTTCGGTTTTATTATTCGAATAGGGTTTTTACAGAAGTTGTAGCTTTATTTGGTGGGTTCTTACTTGAGAAGAGATGTTGGCAAATGCAGGTCTCTGAATTCAGTTGTTACTCCCACATACGTTCGGTATTTGATTCTATCTACTACCTTCCTCTGCTGTTGTTCATCTGCTATACTCACCATTCCGACCTCTTAGTTTAATCACGATTGGAAGTTCATGCTGATTGAGAGTGACCCTTTCCTCAGATCCCTTTTGATTAAACAACTTTGTTGTTATCCTGTGGATTAGTCTGTTCTTATGTATACAATGTTCTGGGATTCCAGGGTTGGTGTGAAAGCCTACTTGGAGAGATTTGTTTTCAGCCAAAGCCGAGATGTATATTGGACGTTGTCTTCGTGGGAATTAGTTGGGATCTCCTTATTGCTAGCTGGTCTTGTTTCCACCACTCTTGAGGAACCAGACAGTTTCGGTTCATCTTATAAAACAGTTATGGTTAAGCAGAATACATCCATGGCTTTGGTAGAAACGCTTTGGCTTTTGCGAACATGTTTGTTTGTGGGTTAAGGCGAGTGGCAAGTCGTTGCAGGTCCTGTCAGTAACCATCGAGGTCTGGTCATTTCAGGTTGCGAGTCGTTAATTGCTCGCACTGGCCATGAACAACACCACTGTGCGCCCATTTATCATCGCCTTTCACTTGTGCCAGTCATTGGTTAAAGTGCATCAATAATGTTGTGCTGTTGTATTGAGAGTTGTGTGAGTTACCGCGAGTTACATCTTACTACAATCATACGAAAAATGTCTTAAATTAAGGGTTAAAGACACATTTGGTCACTGAGATTACAAAATCGGGACATGTTTAGTCACTAGAAAAAATTAATATCAAATTTGGTCACTACAATTACTAAAACTGGACACATTTAGTCACTCGCCGTTAGTCTCCGTCCAACTCCGTTAATGAAGTCCGTTAAGTGATGATGTGGCAAACAGAAATGCCTAATCAGCCGGATATAACCCAACAAAAATAAAACCCGACCCGCCACGTCATTATAACCCGCCACGTCATTAAAACCAACCCAACCCAACCCATGACCCAACCCCACCCAACCCTTCTTCCTCCTTCCTCTCACCTCCTTCTTTCCCCAAAACCACCGCCGCCGCTCTCCTCCTTCCTCCCACCTCCTCCCGCAAACCACACTGAAACCCTAATCGACTGACATAAGCCGACTGCGTCGAGTACCCGACGCCGGACGATTGAACGACCACAGAAGCCGTAGCTGCTGCTTCCATCCTCCCTCGATTGAACGAACCTCCGACGTGTATATATACCAAACCCTTCGAATCTCCTGGGGACCTCCGAAAATCGACAAATCACAATACCTCCTGGGAGGAGTCGGCGATTCATGCAGGTTTCTCCGCCGCTAATCGTGGGGATGGTGAAGTCGGAGCTGACCAGCAAGTACGATCTGAGCTCGCTTCTGGTACTGGGCTGCGGCGGGGCTCCGCTCGGGAAGGATGTCGCTGAGAAGTTCAAGGAGAAATTCCCCAACGTGGACATCATCCAGGTATATATATATATACAGTCTAATTGAATTGAAGAAGCTTTGTTGAATTTTTCTGGTTGGTGTGATTGAAATTTTGTGGGAGACAGGGATATGGGTTGACGGAGAGCGGGGGAGGGGGAACGAGAATGATGGATGCGGAGGAAATGAAGAACTACGGGTCGGCGGGTCGGATCTCGGAGAATCTGGAGGCCAAGGTTGTGGATCCGGAAACAGGGGAGGCTCTGGGTCCTGGCCAGAGAGGGGAGCTTTGGTTGAGAGGCCCAGTTATCATGAAAGGTTAGAATATTCTTATTAGAGGCTGCTAACAGGGAAGGGAACTCTTGCGAGGATTCGACTTTTACCTTACATGGTGGAAAATGGCTGTGCATGCTTTGTTGGTTTATCAGGTTATATTGGGAAAGAAGGAGGTGAGAGGAAGGAGGAAGAAGGGTTGGGTGGGGTTGGGTCATGGATTGGGTTGGGTTGGGTTGGTTTTAATGACGTGGCGGGTTATAATGACGTGGCGGGTCGGGTTTTATTTTTGTTGGGTTATATCCGGCTGATTAGGCATTTCTGTTTGCCACATCATCACTTAACGGACTTCATTAACGGAGTTGGACGGAGACTAACGGCGAGTGACTAAATGTGTCCAGTTTTAGTAATTGTAGTGACCAAATTTGATATTAATTTTTTCTAGTGACTAAACATGTCCCAATTTTGTAATCTCAGTGACCAAATGTGTCTTTTAACCCCTTAAATTAAAAGCAAACTCTCGCCCTTCACAAACCCTCCAATCCCTCTGGCTATTTGCTCTGGCGAACCAGAGACATTATGTGGCCACTATAACGAACAGACAATCTTCTCCGTCGGCTGCTCGATTAATACTGGTTTTCCTTGTGCCACCACGGGCAGCATGAATCGAATTGTAAACAGCAAGTGCACCATTACCGACGACCTTGATGTTTTAACTTGCATATGCTTGTCCTTTCGCCACATTACCATCGCCTGGAAATTGCTCTGTTACATAGGTGATACATTGTCCCTGCAGACGAATACCACTGGGGATTCTGTGACTGCCGTAAATCTCAATCCAGCACCTCGCACCGAGAAATGTGTCTCCACAAGCATCCTTCTTCTCCATGTTTATGCGCACAAGTATTTGAGCTTACTGGACCTCTATGATCAAAGCAAATGGAGCTGGAAACAACGAATCAACCTTCTTACATTTTTCAACTCATCCCTGGGGAGGACTAGCCATGTCCTTGGACTTGGACGACAGCAGCTGCACCCTCTTCGTTAGATCTCTCATCACATCTACAATAAGAGCCTTCTTCTGGATTCTGAACTGGATGGCCAGTTCACTTGTCGCCGACGAGACACCCTTCTTCAGCAAGGATTCATCCTCCATCATTTGGGTGGGGAAGTGTCCGAGTGCAATCACACACAGAGCAAGCACGGTACGAAGAGCAGCCACTTCAGTTGCGGTACCAAGAGGTGCATCAGAATCAGATGACAGGGACATCAGTGTGCTCAAATCATGTTTCTCCACCATTTCCCTGTCGCTCGTCAGCATCACTCTAACAGCTGCCAACAATCGCCCCTCCACGGGCTCCTGCCCACCAATTGTTACCTTGAGAACAGGAGCTTCTCCATCCAACTTCAGCTGGGATAGGATCTCTTTCTGCCAAGGAGCAGGCGACGAGAAACTTGGAGAAGAAACCCCAGCAGCTGTGCTCGCAGCATCCAGAAGCGCGCCATCGAATCTGAGCTCGATGCAGTCATACGGATTCGAAGGCACCACGAATCCATAGTCCAGCAAGAAAAGATCATTGTTCAAGCAACCATAGTTGATCACCAAGGGATCATCCTCTTCAATTGCAGTCTCTGCAACCACATTTATCAGCATATCATCATTTCCCCCTTGCTCCTGAACAATTCGTGCATTCGGATTGAAACTATGGTTGCACATATCAATCAGCGGTAGCATCATGGGGATATCAATACCACCATGGCTTCCACCTCCGTGCAAGCGGAATGCCCTCGACGAGACGGCAGACATTGCCCATCCGAGAGACGATGCATCGACGGCTTGCCCCCCAAAAGGGTGATCGCTGCTGCTAGTCTCTACACCGTCGAGAACATGCTTCACTAATTGCTCAAATTCAAGAAGAAACCGGCATCTTTTGTTCACCTGGTGAAGCAGAGGTGCGTACTGAAGATTCTTAATGTCCTCCCCGGGGAAGAAGATGGGCACGCTGTATGCTTCGGGGAGATTGCTGATGTACGGCCACCAGAAAGATCCGACCTGGCTTCGTTCCTGGAGAAGCTTCAGCCCCAATTTCATTGCCCATAGCTCCTCGGGGACATGACGAGCCAAATTGGCCAAAACGGAAGGAGCCGCTCCATCGCCGCCGCTGGCGAATTTCAGAGGAATGTGATCGGGAAGAGCGATGAGCTGGGAGCCTTTAGGGATTGGCTGGGAGGCGAAGAGGCCGAATCCGGTAGCGTCGTGCGATATTTTGACGGCCTGGTGGACGAATCCACCTTCACGCTTGACCCATTTGATGAGGTCTGGAGGGTGAGGGGCGAGACGCGAACCGTAGGGAGAGGCTGCAGCGGCGGCGCAGGTGAAGGGGCGGCAGTGGGTTAACGATGCGGCGGTGACGAGCTTGGAGGCAGCCATATCTGATCTGAGAGACGAGGTCAGATCAAATTTCTTTTTTAATTTCGACTTAGACACACTAGCTTGGGCCCGGCCCATGGCCGGGTGTGATATCTGCGGTGGCTTGTTTTTGTTTGTGCGTTCCAAATGCTCTTTGAAAGATATTGTAGGCAAATGTTGTTTTTACATATCTTTTACTTGTATATTTTATAGGCAAAATACAGTTTCATAGCCATAACTATTCGCATTGTGACAATAATAGCCACATTTTGAAAAATACATAAATATAGCCACGCTTTTAAAACTTTCTGGACTAATTTAGCCATTTCCGTTAAATAGTTTAACGGCAACAAGTGTTCTGTCAGTTTAGAGAATGACTTGCTTACGTGGCTGCCATCTGGGCGACACCTATTGGCCACCTGGACTTGCTATTCTCATGTAATTGCCACATCATATTTTCAATTAAAAAATTAATTAATCCAATAAAAAAAAAAGACAAGTCAAAAGTGATAAAAAAAATAATCTCTCCGTTCACACTCGCCCAAACCCAAACCCTTCCCCTTCCCTTTTCCTCCCCATCGCCAGCTTCAATCCAAGACGGAGAAGTTTCGGCCATTGAAGCTGCCGGTGCCATATTCTTCTTCTTCCTCTCTACGCAACACTTTCATCCTAAAAGCCCACCAGATCCCCCCTACAGCCACTCAACCTTCCCTTCTCTCACGACCGAACCACAACCACAACCACTGCATTCTTCTTCCCTCTCTACAAATTTTAATTAACAAATTACCTTTGTCACTCTCTTCACTGGTTGTCATGGTTGGGAAGTTGAAAGACGATTGCATTCTTCCTCAAACAGTCCTAGATCGAGAAGTTGAAGAGCCCTAATCACTGGCGGGACCTCATTTACTGCCGCTGTCGACGGGTTTGAGTCTCTGTTTCTCTCCACCATTGTTGAATCTATGAAAACAACCCAGCAAGAGGAGACTGGATTTGGCGGCAGCGAAGCACTGCTTCATCGTTCTCCTGCTATGCCCTGTGTCGTCTACAAAGCCTCGCGGGGGAGACGCCATTGATATTCAATCCAAATTTTTGGCGCACCAAGGCTTATTGTTTGGTAGCGGATACTGGATGGTGGTAATCGTAGGTACGGAGAAGCAATCGGATCTCAGTGGAAGCCTGTGTACTAAACACAGTTCCAGCATGCAGAGATCTGGTCACCTTTGAGGTCTTGAGCGGGAGTCCCGAAACCAGAAATTTCTTTTCCGGCAACAACACCGAATTTATTCGCAGCCGGAGCAACAACAGGGATTCCTCTGTTTTAGCTTCTTCATCGACGTGTTCTGGCTTCGTAATTGAATTTCTTTTCCGATTAGTGTTGGTTCCCAATTCCTGTGCACTCGCCGAAATTCAATTTGAGGGTAGATCGAAGATCCTAATCTGGGAGGGTGGATGGAATATAAAAGGAAGACGAAGAAGACTGATGAATTTTTATTTTTTTTCATTTCCTTTTTTCATTTAAATTTTCTTTTGTTTCTCATATAACTTTACAATAGAAAGTCAACATTTTCACGTGGCAGTGGGTTTGACGAAAAGTTGCCATGTCACCATAAATCGTTCGTCCAGTCAGCATTTATAAAGCTACCGTTAAAGTTTTGGACGGAATGGCTATATCTGTGTATTTTCTAAAATGTGGCTATTGTTGTCACAATACGAGTAATTGTGGCTATGAGGGTGTATTTTGCCTATTTTATACGACAAAATAACACAACTCAATATATATTTCCCTTATGACCGTACAGAACTTATTTATATTATAATATTAATGTTCGGTCGAAAATCTTATTTATTAATTATAGTAGTGTAGTAGTTTGTTTCTCCATTTTAATAGAAAAAAAATCAATGTTTCAAGTATTTTTGTTTAAATTTCATGCATGGACCGATCTACCCGCACCCCAAGAGAAAAAAAATCCAACATGAACACGATGGGTTGGATATGGGCATCTAGTATTTACACAACACCAAGGTTGTGAAATCTATTTATACCATTATATTGTTTAGCAAGTGGTGTGGTTTGGCCGGGGTACAATCGGTTATATCGCTTCATGTCATTTTAACAAAATATGTAAAAAGTGTGAGGAATCATTAACATCAAATGATCTTAAGCATATAAAAAATATATTTCAAGATATCTTCTTATAATCTACATCCATATTTAAATAAAATACAATATTTTAAAAAAAATGAAAAATACTCATATTCAAATACATAATTTAATGTCAACTTCTAAGTGTTTATATTTGAATCCAACAAATAATATCAACATTTAACTTTCAAGTTTATTAAATAAATTATAAATGAACTCTTTGTTAATTAAATTGACTAAACGATGTTATTTTGTTTAGAGATTGAAAATCGATCATGATGATCATTTCAGGAGTATTCCAGCCGACTTTATATCCGATACCGTAAGACCGATTCTACCGGATGGCATGCAGACCCTAATTGCTCTGTAAATATATTAGGATAAGTTAGAACCTATTATGCAAAGTGAAATTTGAGACAACAGGAACCTTCATGTTATGGCCAACACTGATTAATGCAGCAGCAAGCAACGAAGGCACAACATATCATATAACGATA